CTTCCCCAGTAGGGCGCCCACGCGCCTACTGGTAGTTGACGCTTTCCCGCTCCGTACCCAGCTTCTGGTGATTAGACTGATTGCGGCTCCGCCGACTTTGACGCGTTTCCGCAGCGGACACTGTGGACGCAAGTGTTTGGTGCTCCCGCACGTGTTACATCTACGGATGTTACAATGCTGTTCAACAGCTTGGGGCTTGAATTTTTCTTCATAAGCATGGCTGAGGTCCATGGGATCAGTCTTGTCACTCTATCGTTGGGCATGCCCATGAATGTCATAACGAGCGGCTTGAAAGTTGAACTCCGCGTTCAACGCTATGTCTACAGCCTTTACAAATGTTGTGGGGTGGAAGCGATATACTTCCGTCCTCGCGACCCCAGTGCGAAGTCCTTCCATAAAAATGGTGACACGGACTTCTGGAAGAAGGTCCAGCTGCATGACAGCTATGAGAGTTCGCAACTCCTGGTCAAAGTCCTATAATTCTAGCTTATCCTGCATGGCGGCAAGGATTCGGGAGAGTACACGGTAAGCTTGATTTGGTGGTGCGAACACCCGAGACATCTCTCGTTTGAGCGAATCCCATGTGGGAACGCAGCGTCTACCGACGCATCACACGTCAGATCCCATTTTCTGGCTCTACCGTCTAGTTTCGAAATGGCTAAGACAACTTTCTGTTGCTCAGATTGGAGCATCACGGCGTTAATAGCCATATCGACTTCCCGGATCCAGAGTAGGAGATTATCCCACTCTCTTCCGTCGAAAGTCGTAACGCTAAGAGCGAGCGGACGAGCCTTTGGCTCATTGTCAGGTACTGAAATGTACCGTGTAGGTATCGCTGAGGATTAATGGTTATGGACCTGTACAATCAGCGCGGACTTAAGCTGCATGAACGCATCAAGGCGTGCAGTGAGCACTTCTGGGCATTGGGCCACAATGTAGTCGACCTGCTCGGCCGCAATCAACGCTCTAAGCTTACCGAGTGGAGACGTTGGGCCTCGGAGAGGTAGTCAAAACTCTCCACCTCGTTACAGAGGATCAGTCGAAAACGACTCAGGTGTAGGATTAACTACGAGTGCTACCAAGTGTAGCAGAGCTACCACAGCTTGTCACAAGCGAACGGCGAGATGCCATCGCTGTCAGAAGATTCGACACTACGCTCATGAGTGAAGTGTCCCGAGCATTGCAACACGTCCAAAGACAGGACTTGATGACCACCGTTGGCCAAGGAAAGGTCCAAGGCGTGGATCCGACCATGTTGCTAAGCTGCGACAGCAAGTCGGACCGTCAAAAAACGGACAGGGTCAGTAGGGTCGGAGCATCCTGCTGATTCAGCAACGTCAAGCGAATTCACAGGACTCTTGACGAAGATTGCTCCCAACACACCGTCGCTGTGTGTTAATGCCCCTAGTGATGAAGTGTTTCTCATCACTTTGAATATCAAGGTGACAAGTGGAATATCACTTCGCGCCCCAGTTGACTGTAGGGCGTCGAAAAGGTTTTCTCGATGCCAGTCGCTAGAAGATGGTAGGAAAACTATATTGAGCGAGAGTTCCCTCCAACGAGGATGACTGTGTGCCTTGCTACAGGCGCATCCGTAACAGTGAACAAACGTGTAGTGGGAATCCACTACACGCTAGAAGGAAAGAAGTACGATGATGACTTTATCGTACTAGATTTAGATGACAAATTCGATGCCATCCTTGGCCTGCCATGGTTTAGAAAGTACCGGCCATGGGTTAGCTGGTAGCATCGATCCGTGAAGATGCCTGTCGTTTGTTCATAGGATGGCCATCTGATGAACGTCTTGGCGCGTCCACAAGCGTGTGGATGTACTACGAGTGAGTGCTGTGGCACAAGATCACAGTGTAGAAGGCCACTACACTGTGGAACCAGCTTCCGGCACATGTGTAGAGACACAGGCTACGCCGAAGGTTCACCCCTCGAAGAAATCGAGTGGACTGGAACACGGATGCACCTAAAGAAAAATGCATCCTAACAGAGAAATGAGTTTTGTTCAGGATGTACAACACGTTAAAGCAAGATCGACTATCAGTGAGTTAATCGTAGAGCAAGCCCGATCGACTGAAAGAGAGTCGATCGAAGAGGACGTGACCGTGATAGTACATATAATGAAAGAAAATTTCAGCGTTCCTGAAACTGATAACTCCCGAGAGAGTTATGTTAAGGGTGTGGATCCCCGACCACCTGCGGATTTGTTTTCCCAGGAATTCACCGATACAGTGAATGTCTTAGTGAATGACGGATCAAGTCTAGGCGCTTACACACTTGATCTGGTTAGACCACCGAATTCAGCTTCGGAGTTAGTCAAGTTTCCAACGCTAGAATCTAAGAGATTCTTGCGAGATCTGCGTACTCGTCACAGAGGACGAGTACGTCGCTAATATTCGGTCGGCACAAGTGTTTGCCGAGAACGAACGGGTTCTCAGTTGCTCATCGATGGACGAGAGTGTCCTCGATGAGAAGACCCGGATTGAGCGATACACGTCTCAATCTTGGGAGTCTTTGAAGACAAATCCTTGTATAAGAATTTAATCGAATTCGGGGACGAGTTCCCTAAATCCGTGCCAAGCGAGCTGCCTAAGGACAAAGACACTAGACATGAAATCGAACTGAAAACCGGTTCAAAATACTTTGTCATGAAGCAGTGGAAACTGCGTGAACAAGTACTTGCGATTGACAAATTCTTTTCCAATCGCTCAGCGGCTGGTCATGTGAGGGAATTAACATCCCCACACAGATTTCTGACCTATTGTGTGCGAAAGGCTACAGGAGGGTGGCGGATAGTGCACGGGTTCGACAAATTGAACGCTGCAACGGTACCTGCTCAAACGCCGATACCAAGGAAGGGTGTCATCATAGATGGTATGTCAAAGAGTACCATTTTTTCGTCCATGGACCTGATGGATGGATTCTATTAGATCCTCATGCGTGAACGGGATATACCTTACACAGCACTGAGCACCCCCAGTGGTATGCTCTCGGAGTGGCTAGTGATGCCACATGGGCTAAGTAACGCCCCCGAAACGCTCAACAGATGTGTTACCAATCTGTTGCGATCGGTGAGCGATTTTGCACCGAGTTACTTTGACGATGCCTCCGTCCATAGCCGGGCTATGGATGAAAGAAGGACGTGGAGGTTCAAAGAATCCACGTTCGGAAGGTTCTTACTTTAATGCAAGAGCAAAAGCTGCTCGCGAGCCTCAAGAAGTGCATATTCGCAGTGAACGAAATAACACATCTTGGCTGCACCGTGGGTAAAAACGGCTTACGCCCTGTTCCGGAAAAGATCAAAGTGATTAGCGACTGGCCTGTGCCAGCCGACGTCAAGGAACTTCAAACGTTCCTTGGCTTGGCAGCGAATTTGCACAAATGCGCGCGAAACTATGCCGAGATGACCGTACATCTCTTTCGTCTGCTTAAGAAAACGAGAGGTGGTCATGGAGTGCTGAATATCAGTACTCCTTTGAAGGCATCACAAAAAGGTTGGTGCAATCACCTGTGTGGGCGATTGCAGATCAGGATAGACTATTTCATGTGGTCTGTGACGCCAGCGACTTCGCAATCGACTGCGCGTTAATGCAGTACGACTCAGACAGAGTTAGGCGCGTCGTCGGTTGTCAATTGCTTTAGCTGCAAGCAGATGAGCAAAATTATCCGGTGCATGACAAGGAACTCCTTGTCCTGAAATGTGCACTGGCTAAGTTTCGGGTATATCTATTAGGAGATAGGCCTTCATTGTTTATCCGGCCATGCGTCGTTACGAACGGCCAAAAACAGCCAACACATATCGCAACGAATGGCGAGGTGGCGGTCTTTCTTCGCGGAGCACAACTTCTCCGTCGAGTGTAAACCAGGCAGGATTAGTGTCGTCGCTGATGCTCTTTCGCGTCGGCCTGATTTCGAGCCGACTGCTCAAAACAACAGTAAGGGTGATCCCACTGTAGCAAAACTAACAGTGAGTGCTCCGTCTTTGCATCTGCTTGAAGAAGTGCGGAAAGCATAAACAGAAGATGATTCGATTCTGCGATTAATGGATAACGTATCTAATCCATGCAGTCAACCTTTGAAAAGCTTGTCGTCTCAATACCGCTCTTCAACCGAACGGTTTCTGTTCATGATGGACTGCTGTACTGTACAGCAGTCAACGGTGACAAGCCTCGTATCGTCGTTCCCGCTCATAATGATTTGCGATTGCGCATCATGTATGAGTGTCACGATGCCCCAACAAGTGGGCATCGCGGTAGAGAAAAGACTTACCTCACGGTAAGTCGTGACTTTTACTGTCCTTGCCAGTATGAGTTTATGAGCAAATACATTCGCGCTTGCGAATTTTTCAACGGGTGAAGCCTAGTCCTTCATCCCGCGCACCCTTGCAGCCTCTACCGATTTCGGCAGAGTGTTGGCAGTCCGTATCGATGGACTTCGTCTTCGGTTTTCCCGAAGACGCTCACAAGAATAATGGTATTCTTGTGTTCGTTGATCGGTTCAACAAGATGGTTCATCTTGTCGCTGTACCGGAGTCAATCACAGCCCAGGGTTGTGCTCGTGTCTTCATTGGTACTATCTTACTACTTCACGGGTCACCCCGTGAACTCGAGTCTAATAGGAACCCCCGCTTCACAGCGAAGTTCTGGAAATCCGTGTTCCGTTCACTTGGAATACGTTTAAAGATGTCGACTTCTGACCATCCAGAAACAGATAGTCAGAAGGAACGCGTCAACCGCGTCCTCGAAGAGATACTTCGAGAGTATGTCTACTCGTTTACGAGCTAAGTGAGTTCTTGCCGATGGCGGAATTTGCCATCAGCAACTTGGTGCATGCGTCGACAGCGCATACACCTTTCTTCGTGAATGTCCTACGCCATCCGCGTTTACCCGCCTTCTTAGAGTGTGAATACAGTTAAACGGGGAGGGTGGACATTCTAGAACAAAAACCGATCTGGTTCTTGCTCATCACCCGTCGAAAATGGTGTCGACGTGATGGATGCCGATATCAATCACATCGACAACAATGATAATGATGAAGATGATGCTGGTATATTCAGCATCGCAAATGACTGCCAAAGTGAGGACGGTGACGCCCTCACTGGTGAAGACGACGTTCTTTCAGCAGTGCACACGAAGCGCACTACTGCTGACAAGGATGAATCAGCAGAAGAATATCTGCAGACGCTCGAAGCAGTTGTCCGCTTCGTTCAAGCTCTATTGCAGATGCACTAGACAGACAGATAAGAAACACAGACAAACATGGAAGAGCAAATGTTCTTTCATTTGATGAAGGAGACCTAGTTTTACAGTAAACCTACCAAAACAAGCAGTGACAAAGGTGGGCAGCAGCAAATTAGTGCCTAAGTACATCGGTCCATTTCGTGTGTTGCTCCGTATGGGCAGCGTATACACGATTGAACTGACTTGTAGGATGCGTACACATCCTACGTTTTACGTCGGTCGTCTCCGCCCGTACTATCAGTACGGGCCCGTTTCGAGAAGCAAAGAACAACTACGCGGTCAAGGACCGAGACCACCTTCGAGTGGTCCCGTTTCAACAAGCCAGTCTGGTCGAACACCAAAGCGACATGCTCACGCATTCAGCAATGTCCTGCCGAGCTGCAGTCAGCTCTTCATGAAGAAAACGAATCGAAAGTTCGTTAGCAAGTTGCGCGAAAGAAAACGCGACACGATCGTTCGAACGATTGTGCGCTAAGAAATTGTAATTATCCTTTACAAGATCATGGAGCTCATAGCGCCAAGTCCGTTCATGAGACAGGTCATCTTGCAGCTGTTCCTTTACACAGTTCAGCTCCTGGAAATCAAGATAATCCAGCCCTCGAGCCAGAATATGTGTTCCCGCCACCGCCACATCCTTTGGTGGACTCCGGTGGTGGTCGACGCCTTCTTGTGGAGCGTACTTTGAACCACCGCGACGTGAATGGCGTCCGGACGAGTTACCTCGTCCGCTGGTGTGGCTATCCACCGGCGTTGGACATCTGGGAGCCTCGTGCCCAGCTGATTGTTGGTGTCCTTGGTCTCGTCGAGCAGTACGACGAGACCCACCTGCTTCGTTCGAAGAAGGGCCGTCGGAAAACGACCTCCCCGAACGCGAATACAGGTATTGCAATGTGTCAATCCCTTCGGCCATCTCAGAAGAGATGCGCGCCCTCCAGTAGAGATCATTAGGGAGAAGGACCTCCCTAGGGGCACGATTCTAGTTTTACAGGCAGCCTGGACACGAATCACCCCACGAGAGACAGGGTAATTCTGCCTCTCTTGAAAGCCGGTGCAACTTGTATCGCGCCCCGACTGGGTTGCGTTTCTCAAACCTGATGCAAGCTGCATCAAGTTTGGCGAGCAGGCCTCATGGCCAATGCACTCGATGTTGTGGATGAGGGCATTCCATCCTTGCACCAAGGCTTTGCCGTCTTGAACACGGCTACCATTGTACCACCGATGTTCGTAAAACGCATCGGTGGAGAATTCTTTCTCAGCACGGATAGTTTCTGTGCTGGAATCAGGTGGGCAAATCTTCCTACCATCGAACAACGGGATTCGATCCCGTTCGGTAGTCATGCCGGCCAACCGGTCGAACTCCTTGGATGACGGCATCCAAGGGGACTCCACTTGAAGAGCATGAAGCAGGACATTGCGGTCCCTGTACTCTTAAGTGGTGTCAGCACGAGCACAGACATTAGTGATACCTCGATCCCTCGAGTTACTTCGCTCGTGGTGATGTATAGGTACATCACCGCCATCACCACGCGTCCTATTGTCAGATGGACTTGCGTGAGGAGAAGATAAATCGGAAGAATCGCTCGGACCAAAGAATTTGGACATAATGCCGCCACATTCCCCCTGTAGCCCGTCAATCTGGCTCTTGCAGTGTCCGCCCCGGATGATCCGGAGGCGTGAGGTGTCGCCTTCGAGTGGGATGCATCATCCAACTCGCCAGAATAGATGAGCTCTACTTCAGGCTCATTTGCACTGCGATTCGCAGTACCCGCCGCATACGCAGCAAATTTATTTGTCGCACGTAGTGAATCACCACGTAGACGATTCACAACAGCAGGCGTCGAATCACATGCTGCTGAGGTGTGAGAGGCACTTTCCGCGGCTGCACACATGCGTGCAGCCGTCAATCTTGCTACTGCAGTAGCAACTCGCTTGGTTATTGAAGCCATGCGTTGGATTGACAAATGAATGGGATTTGACCAACAAGTGCTCCCTTTCCCATAGTGGTCCAACGGTGGTCACCCTGTCCCAATCAATTCTGTTTCAATCAACGGGAGATTGATGGTAAAGGGGGGATGATGTAAAGGGGTAGTCCGTTACATGATATTGACACCAGACGGTGTCAAGAGGGAGATTGTCTAGCGTGACAATTCCCTACCAATATTATCCGAGGTGGATAATATTGAAGGAATGTTATCCTCCAGTGATTATATTCATGCGCTTCTTAAAGATTGGTTAGTAAAGACATATCAGCCAAGGTTACCACCAATCGCTGCTAGACGCGCGTAACGAGTGGTGAGCAGGTTGCCGTCATACGACTTTGTAGATTAATATAGTTAGATAAAGACTGAAGTTATATTGATAGCTTGACTATATTAAATACAGTTCTATTTTTACCCTTCATTCAAACTAGCTCTTTGAGTAGATCCGCTTCCTCTGCACGTACGAGTATAAGTGAAGTTTCGCGGCACCCCAAACAAAGGGTGCCCCGTTACAGTAATGGCAGATCGCGTCATCCTTGCTAATGTAAGTGCCCCGGGGTGGATTACTCCATCCGAGCACGACGTGAATTATTTACGTCCATGCAGGACCCGGCGCTGATTGAAGATAACGGTGTCCCTATTTAGCTCGTTTTCATAGCAATGCTTCCCACCTTCCACTAGATGATGGAAGACGCGGCAGGCGTCATAGCATGGCATCATCGCAATAGTGTGACGTCCTCGTGTCCACGTCGGAGAAGTTGCTACGAGATGACCGTTTACAACTTGCAAGGCACCTGTGTCCGCCAAATCCACATCCTGTTTACAGATAAGTTGCGCCATTTAGCTCGCAGATAATTTGCATCGTTCAGCATGCCATTGACTCTAAGAGAAAGCAGGTATGAGAACCGTGTCCACCGTTTCACATCGTATGCTATCTGCAAACTCGTACCGGCCCTGTACCAATTCGCCGTCAGCTTCATTTCGCTCGCAGTAAAGACATTGTTCAAGTGAATGCCACAGACATTGAGACCTGCGCACTTCGTCATTTGTTCTGCAGAATCTTAAGTCAGAGGAAGACTTAACGCTCTACGAGCAACTTAGTTCTAAAGAACTAACGACTTTACGAGTCAACAAGATTTACAGCTTCATATCCCTGTTCCAGGGGACCTAACGATTCAGTGAATCGACAGCACTCAGTGCTCAAGAGTAGCTACCTCAAGGAGGTGTTGCTAACTCTTAGTGATCAGTGATCAGTGATCAACGATCAAGACGGCTCGCAAGCCACGTGTCCTTTAGATCAAAATGGGAACTGATTTTATTTTTTTGTTTAATCCTATAGAATATATTAATCCTACTCAAAGATCTTTTGTACCTAATGGCTGACACTCGTCAGCCCCTACAGGCCAGTAAGATGTTCTTTATCACCTTAACAAAGGGGTACCCTCAGGTATGTAACACCTCTGGTACAAAGTACCATAATTTCTTGCAACCCCGTTACACGCCAGGTCAGTCGCATACGTTCCGCCGTTTTCCATCACCTTGTCTTTTGCTGCTGCCACTAAATCGACTGCAATGGACAGTGACGACGCGACTGCAGTGAAGACCAAGCGAGCTTCATGTCCGATAAGAACCCGAGAAAGCGCCAACAAGAGCCGCTTGCGCCGCAACGCGCGGCTGGCCACGCTCATGACGGACATAGCCGAGCTGAAGAAGAAAGAGCAGGAGCTACAGACGTTGTTGCTGGTCTGCAAGCTGAGAACAAGTCGCTGCTGGATTAGCACGCGTTTTTGCGCTCATTAGTAATCAGTTGCAAACAGGAATCGTTTTTTCGAAAGAAGGACCCGCTGTATGCTGCCGCCTCGCTGCTGCTCTCGTCCCCACTAACGATGAATCAGAGCAGAGTGGATCTTCACATGCTGGGGAACGGTCGGAAGAAGACAGAAGGCGACGAGATTGGTGGAGACACACAAGTTTCGGACATGACGATGTTGACGCTTCGACCAGGCAAACGGCGTGCCGTGTCATCCACGCTATCCACCACAGCGAGTCTGACAGTGTGTTCGTCCGTGTTTGGAGTCACTGTTTTCACCAGCTGCGATGGCGATGCTGTCGTTTCTGGCACCATTCGCAGTGTTGGACGTGTGCTGCACGAGTCTTCGAAGTCGTGTGGTATAGAAAAGTACTCGTTGGAAGTGTCGAAGTCACTAGGGCGTTGGTGGAGACGACTGTGAGGTCTTTATGGCATGAGATAACGTCGTCCAAGCTGGTCTTCGGCGTCTCGCCAAACGTGCTGTCTCTTGTTGCCATTATGATGCTGTATCGGCTGTAGCAAAGTCACGCTCGGCGGGTTGTGAACGAGTGTGTTCACTATTAGAAACCCGAAGGCATATTGAAGCTTATAGCAGCCTGATTCATGAGAGCAGCAGGCGGTAAGGCTTTTGTCTGGAGTCCTTCCAAGTTAGTTTGCATTGCAAATCTCCGCGGAAAATTTGTCACACTGCCCCAAAGAGTAATAATACGCTCGGGCTGCTCACTTATCAACGATATTACAGAATCGACATTTATGTCTAAGGAATACAACCGGAACTTGGAGATCATTAGGGTCACTTCTCTGCTCAATTTGATCCGGTCAAAAAGTGTTGACGGTGAACGTGTTTACACGAGCAGATCTTTCGATCGTAAGCGTGTAACGGGGCACCCTGAAGCTTGCACTGGCAACAGTACAAGCTACTTATTCTGATGACAGAATAAGGCGGTGCCTCGTAACTGCACGTACACTCGTACGTGCAGAGGAAGATGGTAAGAAGAAGCGAGTACTTGGTTAAAGTAAAAAGTAGAACGGTATTTATCATAGTTAATGTCTGCAATAAATCACTATTTATCTTCATCTAACTATGTCTAAATACAAATGTGTAAATCAACTATCTGCTCACCACTCTTTGCGTGCGTCTGTCGAGGCGCGTCTTCGTTGGTTGATATAATGGCCTATATTAACCAATTAGGTACTACTCGTAAGTGCTACAGAATATTTGTCCTTATGACAATATTCTGAGAATGTAACTCTTATAGTTATATTCTATTAACAATTTCTTATAAATTGTTATGTAACGGTTCACCCCGTTACATCATCCCCCCCTTAACCATCAGTCACTTTTAGTGACTGATTGACTAAATGGATACTCGTCCCAAATCATTTGGGACAGGGTTTGCATTTGTTGGTCCGAGTCCACTTTCCAACAATTCATCGCATGGTTAACAAGCCCATGCGATGCGCGAGCAAGGCCGCCGAGAGCGCGTCCGCACGTCTCTGTGCGGACGCCGAAGCAGAAACCACAGCAACTGATGTCTCATCGGTTGCTGAAGCGACTCAGCCTGTGTCACCTGGTGAAGCAGGCGCTCGTCTTGAAGACACTCAGGTCTTCACAGAGTATGAGCTTGGTGTCTCATACTCTCCCGATACGGAATACGGATCCGTATCGACGGCGATCGAATCTAAGCCGCCTGCCAAGCGTGGCATGGACGATGCTTTGCGTCGCAGCATCTTTGGTTCATCTGATGAATCAGATGAACCATCGCCGAAGCGAAGGCGCTCGAGGTCGCGAGACTCGGGCGCTAATAGTGGTGTCGGTTCTCCTATGGACACCACTTCACAGCGAGGTGCCAGTACTTCTGTCGGCACGTCGCAGGAAGAGCGGAACCGCAATGTGTTGCGTTTCGCTCCTGAGAAGAAGCCATGGATGCCTCCCATATCCGTCATGGATCACTTGTCGGCGACGACGAGTGATCGTTATCGAACACGGTTGTTCGATTCGTCAAGGATCCATCACCTTGACCCCAGCGCGAAAAACTATCGCGCTGAGAATGAATTCTTCATCGATGCTTTCTTTAGACATCGATGGTACAGTGAGAATCACAAGCGTGATGGTCCCTCACTGCTTCAGGCGTGGAACGCCTACATCCATAACCTTGAGGATGTAGGTCGTGACGCTTGGAACGACAAACTTATCAAATCTCGTGATAAGTTTGAAAAGCGAACCCCGACAGGTGCAAGCTACAAGCTGCATCGTCTGTCAAGGGAAAAAGGATTACCCTGCCTCTCTTGGGGAGACTCGTGCCCGTGTTGTGTGAACAACTCTGCACGAGCACCTAAGGAGGCTTACCTCCTTACTAGCCCGTGGTGGCGCGTACGTATCTCTAGTGAGATGTACGAAGGGATTGACAACCTGAAATCCCTTTACGACCGTGACGGGAAGACTTTCTCCGGCGGTCCTTCTGCGGCACAGGATGTGCCGCGTCGTACTGCTCAACCAGACCCAGTACGTCACCCATCAGTTGGGAGCGGGGCTCCCAAGTATCCCAGGACGGGAGATAGCCGCGCCACCGGACGCGATAACTCATCCGAAGTCCGTTCACGTCGCGGTGGATCAACAGCTGCTCAACTAGATAGCGCTGGCCACCGCGAGATTCCTCTGATGGAGGTGAGGGAGGAGAAAAGACGCTCTCCACGCGATCGTGGGGATCCGTGTGTTCCCGAGAGCTTCTTTGATCGCGTAACGCAAGGGTTACGCAACGATCTCGAACATGAGCGGGACAGGCGTCTCCAAATGGCGGACACTGTCTCGAAGCATCGAGCTGAGTTTGCCTTTGCTCAGCTTGAGAACGAGAGAGCTCTGATATCTCTTCGTGACGAGCTAAGGGTAGCTCGTGAGGATGTTGACCAGTCTCGGGATGAGATAACTGCTCTTCAGACCGTTATCGATGCCCACCATCGGGAGCACAAGGCTCTCTGCGAGATGCTTGAGCGCAAGGGCGTTCTTCATCGGAAGAAGCAGCGTACTGATGGTACGGCTTAAGCCGACCAACGTAAAACGTGGGATGCGTTCGCATCTTACGTGGCAACTCGGTCGTGTATGCATTGCCTAGGCGATGCAATACACGAAATGGGCCGATGTACTTGGGTAGTAGTTTACTGCTACCCAAGTTAGTCAATACATGCTTTGGTAGATTAACCGTAGACAGTAGGACTAAGCCACCCTTATTAAATAAAAGAGTGTTTGCCCTTCCATTCTTGTCAGCGTTTTGCTTTTGCTTATCCACCGCTTCGGCGATGGAGTCTTGCACAAAACGGACTACCGTTTCACGGGCCAGTATGAACTCATCTGATGACTCGTTAGCTTCAGTGCGCTGTGAGCGCACTGCAGCAACATCAACCTTTTCTTCAGTGAGGGCTTCCGCACTCTCACTGGCATCATCTTCTTCAGTGAGGGCTTCCGCACTCTCACTGGCATCATCTTCTTCGATATCGATGTTATCGATATCGGCATCAAACGCAATGACCTCTTCGTCAGAGCGTGATGAGCGTGAACCAAATCGGTTTTTGCTCGCGCGAGTCCCTCCCCCCCTTAAACCAGAGTTACACTCTAGTAAGGTGGGTACACGCGGATGGCGCAAGCCATTCACGTAAAACGGTGTATGTGTCGTGGACGCATGCACCGAGTTGTGAATGGCAAACTCGACCATTGGCAAAAACTCACTTCAACTCGTAAAGGAGTGTACGTATCCTCGAAGTATCTCTTCGAGGACACGATTGGCACGTTCCGTCTTACCATCTGACTTGGGATGATCAGATGTCGACATCTTCAAGCGCGTTCCGAGTGATTTGAACACGGAACGCCAGAAATCAGCAGTGAATCGTGGATCTCTGTCTGATACGAGTTCACGGGGCAACCCATGAAGTCGGAAGATGGTGTCAATAAAGACACAAGCACAGCCACTTGCCGTGATTGTCTCTGGTACAGCCACAAGGTGTACCATTTTGCTGAATCTGTCAACAAGTACGAGAATACCCGTATTCCCGCGTGCGTCTTTGGGTAACCCGAAGACAAAATCCATTGAGATGGATTCCCAGCACTCAGCCGAAACCGGTAGAGGCTGTAAAGGTGCACGCAGTGAAGGACTTGACTTCACTCGTTGGCAGACTTCGCATGCGCGAACACACTTTCGCACAAACTGATACTGGCGGGGCCAGTAAAAGTCTCGACTTACCGTGAGATATGTTTTCTCTCGGCCACGATTTCCTCCTATAGGAGCATCGTGATACTCGAACATGATCCGCAAACGCAGATCAGTATCATCTGGAATGACAACACGTGGTGTGTCACCAGAAACGGCTGTATAATACAGTAAACCGTTGCGAGTAGTGGATCGATCTGATGCAGATCGATACGCAAACGACAATCGTTTCAACGATTCTCAGGATGGTTGGGAGAGATGTGTCAACAACTTCACTATCTCACCATCTTGGGCGTATGCCCGCCTCACATCATCATACAACGTTGTAAATGGGACTGAGGACGTCATAACCGCAACAGTGACTGTCTCAATGTTGGATTTCACGACTGGTTCAAAGTCGGGACGACGTGAGAGTGCATCAGCAACGACATTAAGTCGTCCTGGTTTGTACTCGACCGTAAAGTTGTATTCTGCAAAGAATGACAACCACCGCGCCATTCGTTGCGAAAGGTGCGGACTGTTCACTGCCGTGCGTAATGACGCATGGTCAGTGTAAACAATGAAGGGTCTATCTCCTAATAGATAGACTCTGAGCTTCGCGAGTGCATACTTCATGGCAAGGGGTTCCTTGTCATGCACTGGATAGTTCCGCTCAGCTGGTTGCAGCTGACGCGACTGATAGCAGACGACGCGTTCAACGCCTTCTAGGTCGTACTGCATTAATGCACAGCTGATTGCGAAATCGCTGGCATCACAGACCACATGAAATGGCCTGTCCTGATTGGCTATTGCTAGAACTGGGGATTGTATCAAGCTCTGCTTGATACCATCAAAGGAGCGCTGACATTCAGCGTTCCATAACCACCTCTCGTTCTTTTTAAACAAACGAGAGAGGTGCACAGTCATCTCGGCGTAATTGCGTGAATACTTATGCAAATACGCCGCTAACCCAAGGAATTTTCGAAGACCTTTGACATCAACCGGCACAGGCCAGTCGGTGATCGCCTTGATCTTTTCGGGATCAGGACGTACACCGTTCTTACCAACGATGCACCCAAGAAGTGGTATTTCGCTTGCTGCAAATATACACTTCTTGAGGTTTGCATACACTTGATGCTTTCGCATGATTGTAAGAACCTGTCGGACGTGGTACCTGTGAACCTCAACGTCCGACTTTCCATCCATAGCTCGACTATGGATGAATACGTCATCGAAATAACTCGGCGCGAATTCTTGTACTGGTCTCAACAGATGTGATACACATCTGTTGAACGTGGCAGGGGCATTACTAAGCCCTTGTGGCATTACTAAGCCCTTGTGGCATTACTAGCCATTCCCAGAGCATGCCGCTAGGCGTGCTAACTGCGGTATAGGGTATATCCCGTTCCCGCATTTTAGGATCTGATAGAAGCCATCCATCAAATCCATGGACGAAAAGATGGTACTCTTTGACATACCATCAATGATCACATCCTTCCTCGGTATCGGCGTCTGAGCCGGTACCGTTGCAGCATTCAACTTGTTGAACGCGTGCACTATCCGCCACCCTCCTGTTGCTTTTCGCACACAGAAGGTCGGAGAGCTATGTGGGGATGTTGATTCTCTCACATGGCCAACAGCTAAACGATCGGCAAAGAACTTGTCGATCGCAAGTACTTGTTCACGAGGCAGTGGCCACTGCTTCATGACACAGTACTTCGAGCCTGGTTTAAGCTCGACCTCGTGTCGAATACCATTATCCTTCGGTAATTCGCACGGAACAGTTTCAGGGAATACATCCTTGAATTCAACCAAATCGTCATAGAGAGGATTTGTCTTGAGCGATTCCCACGATTGGGAGTCATATCGCTCAACTCGTGTCTTTTCATCGAGGACACTCTCGTCCATAGATGAACTACTGAGAACTCTCTCGTTCTCAGTAAACATTGTTGCTGACCTTATGTCGGCTACACACTCGTCGTCAGCGACGAGTACGCAGATCTGCTTGACTTTGCCACTACGCAGATCACGCAAGAACCTTTTATGTTCGAGCGTTGGCAACTGAGTGATCTCCGAAGTTAACTTCGGAGGCGCAATCAGATCAAGTGTATAAGCGCCTACACTTGATCCGTTATTGACTATGACATTCAATGTCTCTGTCATTTCCTGGGGATTTATTCCCTCAGGCCTCGAAGGACTTATTCCTTCGGCTTCCCGGGGACTTATTCCCGCGGGTTTCGGGGAACTTATTTCCGCCGTATTTGTAATATCGGGACTTATTCCCTTAACTTCCTCCAGCTGTGGTTGCGCAACCACAGCGAGATCCTCTACGAAAGACTCTCCAGTCGATCTAGGATTATCGTTTCGCTTAACCTGAGCGATCGATCGTTTCTCTTCTAGATGTTCCCCGCTAGGGATACATCTTTGTCCCAGTCCACTCGAATTATTCGAGTGGTGGACCTTCGGCGCAGCCTGTGTTTCCTCACAGCCGCCGGAACTTTGCTCCGAAGTGTAACCGTTTGGTACACTAAGGTTTTGTGCAGTCGTACTGACGACCGTACCACAAGTGAGGCCATCGCACTCACTCGTAGTACATCCACACGCTTGTGGACGCTTCAAAACGTTCATCAGATGGCCATCTGATGAACAAGCGGCAGGCATCGTTACTGTTCGATGTTGCCAGTTTACTCGTGATTCGTACCTTCTGAGCCACGGTATTCCAAGGATGACATCAAATTTGTCATCCAAATCCAATACGATAAAGTCATCGTCATATTGGGTATCTTCTAGCGTATAGTGGATCTTCACTATACGCTTCATGACGGTTACGGATGCGCCTGTCGCAAGACGTACCGTCATCCTCGTAGGAGGTGTGTCACATTCACTGAATTTAAAGTGACCATCTTCTAACGATTGGCGTCGCACAAAATTGTTGGACGCCCCACAATCGACTAGAGCTCGAAGGGACAACTTTTCGTCACTTCGAGTTTCAAGGTAATGAGTGAGACCTCATTACCTAGAGCAGCAACACACAACGTTTGTGTGTTGGGAGCAACCTTCATCAAGAGGCCCACAAATTCTCTTGACGTTGCTGGATCAGTAGGGTGCTCCGCACCTACTGATCCTGTCCGTTTTTTAACAGTCCATCCCGTTGTTGCGTTTTCGCACCAACAGCGGACCCGCGTCCCTGCCCCTTTCTCATGGGTGGACGGTCACTACGCCCAGTGTTGCGAGACACTGGACGAGGGGCACTACAATCGTAAGCGTAGTGTCCTGTCTTTTGACATCTGTTGCATCTCTGCAACTTCTTGTAGCCTGTAGAGCGAGCCTTCTCGCTCTCTACATAACAGAGTTCCATCGGCTCTGGACCTCCGTTGTCATATCGTCTCGGTTGACGAAATGATGTCGAGCTGGCGCGAGCCTGTCTCAGACTGAAGTCTTCCTGCTCCGCAATGGAAATGGCTTGTTCTAGTGAATATAGCTCAAGCCGGAACAGGTGAGTCTTGACGGGACCATCCGCAAGACCCTGCATGAACACCGAAATCAACGTGTGTTCATCCACCGGATTGGAACTTATACAACTCGTGAGATGTCGTATATGTTGCGCGTAAGCGTGCACATCACGCTTACACTGTTTGAGCTTCAAGAGTTCAGTTCGAGCTCTGAACTCAGCTCCAGGCGGATCAAACGTTTGTCTGAGCCGCGACTTGAAGACTTCCAACGACCCAAACGCATATGGGTCGTGCAACTTGAGCCCCGAAGCCCAATTCTTGACACGTCCTGCCAGATTTGACTGGGCAAATGCAACTTGCATATCCCCGTCGTCGATGCGACGCGCCTATATGGCGTCGTCTAATTTGACAGACCATCTCAAGAGGGAGTCCTCTTCGACTCCTCTATACTTGGAGATGTCAATCTTCAAGGTCTCGGGTCGTCGCGAATACATCGACCCACCAGCAGCAGCCTGCTGCTGTATCAACAGTTCAAACTGTTGAGCACCCTGTTCTCTCAACAACTCTGCTTGTTGAGAACCTTGTTGGTAAAGCAAGGCTACTTTCTCGCGTTCTGCGTCAAGTTCATTTTGAATGAACTTGGCGATAGTAGCATGTTGGGCATCTCTATTGAGAGCCTCTAGCATGACGCTAACAGCATGGATGCCCATAGTTGAACCCATTCGTTCAACCGCATCCCATTCGACATCGCTCAAATGGGAGTAGCCGTCACGCGTATCGTGAAAGCTTTGGTCATCTTCATCATCCAACATATTCATGTTGGATGTGAACGCGGTCCTTGGACGGACTACGAAGTGCTACCAGGTGTAACGGGGCACCCTGAAGCTTGTACTGATGACAATACAAGCTACTTATTCTGACGACAGAATAAGGCGGTGCCTCGTAACTTCACGTACACTCGTGCGTACAGAGGAAGACGGTAAGAAGAAGCGAGGACTTGGTTAAAGTAAAAAGTAGAACTGTATTTATAATAGTTAATGTCTGTCAATAAATCACTATTTATCTTCATCTAACTATGTCTAAATACAAATGTGTAAATCAACTATCTGCTCACCACTCATTGCGTGCGTCTGTCGTGGCGCGTCTTCGTTGGTTGGTATAATGGCCTAAATCAACCAATTAGGAACTGCTCGTAAGAATATTTGTCCTTACGACAAAATTCTGAGTATGTAACTCTTATAGTTATATTCTAATAACAATTTCTTATAAATTGTTATGCAACGATTCACCCCGTCACAGTCGGCGTCTTCTTTGTCATTTGCACCTCACCAACTGTCGTTATTCACCGTCACCGCCTTTTTTTATTTGAGCGCTACAAGAGCTCGACAATCCATTCAATTGAGCAAGCAGCACCGTCTGCTCTGCGGAGCGTCCGCTTTGTAATCATCACCGTAATCATCAAGTTAATTACTCGTGTCACTTTCGTTTAGTGCTACAATCAGCTTAAGTGCTCGTCTGCTGCTGCGTGCGACTTGAGACAGTATTTGTCGAGAATGTCACATGTGTACACATTTCAATAAAAATAGAATCCGAGGTGACAGGACATCAGAGTTTGTGACTGAATGCAAAGAGTGCTGACTGAATGCAGTGAGTGCTGACATAATGCAGAGAGTACTGAATGGAGATGACGTTGTGCAGGTGTTTATCATATTATTACTATTTTAAAGGTAAGGTAGGTAAAGATGACGTGAGCCATGTAGTCGGTCTTAAGAAGAGGTACATGAGATGACCAGATCTCAGTATAGAAGAACAAGTGAGAGACTGCAGGAAGTATAGTCGCTTGTTTGGTGGAACAATCATGACGAGTATGCCTAATTGGTGAGAGAAATGCGTACTTACTCCCACGTCGCAGACTTGGGTCGGTGCATCCCAATGGTCGGAGCAAAGGCATGAGCGAGGACATCTTCATTCTGAAAAAAGCGACATCAGCAACAATCGAGTCTACAACACGATCGCATTGACAACTTAACTAGTTTGATTTATCATGGCAAGTGTATGATTCCATTTCTCGATCTATCAGTGTATTGTTGCTTACGTTTCTCTTCTGTGTGCATGTGTTTACTAGTGGATTAATATCGAGATCCAGAACTTATACAAGTTCGTCGAAAGCAGTATCCGTCATGTACTGAGTGTGCTGTCGGAGGTTGCTTCCAAATCGCGCGGCATCTACGAGAAGAGCGCTAGTCCCACTGATTGGGACTTCAACCAGCTCACCAAGCTGCACTCAAGTGATAAGAAGCACTGCACCATTGGGTATAGCCACGCACTGCGCCCACTAAAGGAAACACGCAGGCACCACAAGTGCCATGAAACCGAAGCAGGTACGGCAGATCCTTTTCCGGCGAACAGGTTCAGGTTGAAGCCTATTTGCAACGAGATTAATACCAAGGAGTTTACACAGCTCGTTGCTACTCGCGATCCTGATGAAGATGGGGAAGATCGGACGTGGTACAGCCGGACACTACTCCTTTTAAATAACAAGCGCCAACGCCAGTTGAGCCACTACGATCGAGCCGATTCGTTTTGTTCGACCATCTCAAGTGTCGACTAATTTACACTTACAATGTCTTAGACCGTAGTCAAGTGATATGAGACCGATCTCGAGCATAATTAGAAGGTGTTAATTTGTAATAGTGATCAAACGATAGCTGTGCAAATTGCTGCAGCCAAACATACAGAGCAGTTGAGTGCCCGAGCGTGCAATGTGCATCCCACTATGGAGAAGTCTCACTGTAGACGTTTGTTTCTTGTGTGATCAAAGCTCACTTTGTCTGACGTCCGGCCAGCTAGTGTAGTGATGAATCGACGTCTGAGAAGATCGACATCAACACATTACTATCACACTTTCAGTTCAGCTTCCCTGACAATAGCCCCTGTGCATAGCCACTTTAATTGAGAACCGTCGTTTTCTAAGGCAGTCTTCCGTTTGCCCATTAATCGATGCACTCCACGACAAGTCGGTCCATCATGATAAACCACCTTCGGTCTAGAATAGTCATCTCTCCTATTGCGAATGTTCACCTCTAGACAGAAATGAGTGTCGCCATCCTTTATGCTACGAGCGCACTGAAAGTCGTACTCAACACGTAAAGTGCTGTGTGTGACTAAGTGATCATGAACAAACAATTACGCGGAGGTGTCAAGTGCTGGTTGACCAGAATCAGTGTCGAGCTGCCGTCAAGAGCCAAGTCTGTGCCACTTTCTGCAGCGAGTATCGGAAGCGCACCCAATTTCCGACGTTGTATCACAAGCGACAACACATCAAAATCACGAAGACGCAGTCGATTGCACATACGAAGAAAGGGCCTAGGAAAAGTATAGTTGTCTGCATATCCACTCCCGATTACTGGGGGTTCGAGGCGTTCGTGTTACACGGGCGTGCGAGTATATTTTATGACCGGACAACAAGCTGAGCAGAAGACATATATCGACTTCTCGTGACATACCGATGTCGACTTAAGTTGTGCGAGCTATGTTAGGTGCTCACGCGACAAATTAGACGCAGACATTTGGTTTTAGGTGAGTGTACATGAAGGTTTTCTGCATCACACATCCAGAGCACACGACCCCTAAGCCGGTGAGAAATCTGCATCGCGACGTCGACATACCGTAATTAGATAAAGAACATGAACATCGTGGTCAAGAAGGTAATTGCCAGCAGCTGCTGCGATGCGAATGGCAAGGATACAGAAGATATTCTTGTGTACGTGTGCATAGTCATCACGGGCCAGCAAAGAGTCTCGCCATGCAAAGTATAGAGGGACGTCAAGGACATACCATGTATAGTAAATAAACTAGGTGCATTTGCGTACGAAGTACATTGCATCGCTATGAGTTTTGAGTCACTACGTCAATAATTTTGGGTACAACGTCACAGGAGCCGATTGTAGTAAGCCTACTCTTCGTTCGAGAAGGATTTAATCGAGTTGAGTCTCACTTGTTTGATGCTGGTAGACAACGTGTATGCTTGTAGTCGTCTGTTTTGATTTTCCAACTGAGTTGTGCTATGAGTTGCTACACACAGCGGTCAATCCCATAAAAGTCGTGCGTATCGGAACAGATCAATGCTTGTAGACAAGATGTCGCGTCTTGATTCGCATAGTCCGACGACGACCTCCTTGCTCAGAGCGTGACATCCCACTTAGGCGCGTCATAGGCTGCGGCATACTAGGGCTCGAAATGAGCCACAAGATGTCCTTCCTTCCTGCTGTGAAACACTGGGCACATGATGGCAAAGAAGATTCATCACGTCTCTTTGTTAAGTGCATGTTATACGTTACGAGAGTATACCGACGTGGCAACTCACGTCTGGCAAGCCTTATCCAAGCTGATCGTGTTGACATCATGCTACATACGTGAAGTTGCATGCGACGAAAACTGATGACAGGTTACTTCAAATGTAACGTGGTGAATCGTTACATAACAATTTATAAGAAATTGTTAATAGAATATAACTATAAGAGTTACATTCTCAGAATTTTGTCGTAAGGACAAATATTCTGTAGCACTTACGAATAGTTCCTAATTGGTTGATTTAGGCCATTATACCAACCAACGAAGACGCGCCACGACAGACGCACGCAATGAGTGGTGAGCAGATAATTGATTTACACATTTGTATTTAGACATAGTTAGATGAAGATAAATAGTGATTTATTAACAGACATTAACTATTATAAATACAGTTCTACTTTTTACTTTAACCAAGTACTCGCTTCTTCTTACCGTCTTCCTCTGCACGTACGAGTGTACGTGAAGTTACGAGGCACCGCCTTATTCTGTCGTCAGAATAAGTAGCTTGTACTGTCATCAGTACAAGCTTCAGGGTGCCCCGTTACACCTGGTAGCACTTCGTAGTCCGTCCAAGGACCGCGTTCACATCCAACATGAATATGTTGGATGATGAAGATGACCAAAGCTTTCACGCTACGCGTGACGGCTACTCCCATTTGAGCGATGTCGAATGGGATGCGGTTGAACGAATGGGTTCAACCATGGGCATCCATGCTGTTAGCGTCATGCTAGAGGCTCTCAATAGAGATGCCCAACATGCTACTATCGCCAAGTTCATTCAAAATGAACTTGACGCTGAACGCGAGAAAGTAGCCTTGCTTCACCAACAAGGTTCTCAACAAGCAGAGTTGTTGAGAGAACAGGGTGCTCAACAGTTTGAACTGTTGATACAGCAGCAGGCTGCTGCTGGTGGGTCGATGCACTCGCGTCGACCCGAAACCTTGAAGATTGACATCTCCAAGTATAGGGGGGTCGAAGAAGACTCCCTCTTGAGATGGTTCGTCGAATTGGATGACGCCATAAGGGCGCGTCGCATCGACGATGGGGATATGCAAGTTGCATTTGCCCAGTCAAATCTGGCAGGACGTGCCAAGACTTGGGCACTGGGGCTCAAGTTGCACGACCCATATGCGTTTGGGTCGTTGGAAGTCTTCAAGTCGCGGCTCAGACAAACGTTTGAACCGCCTAGAGCTGAGTTCAGGGCTCGAACCGAACTCTTGAAGATCAAGCAGGGTAAGCGTGATGTGCACGCTTACGCCCAACATATACGACATCTCACGAGTTGTATAAGTTCCAATCCGGTGGATGAACACACGTTGGTTTCGGTGTTCATGCAGGGTCTTGCGGATGGTCCCGTCAAGACTCACCTGTTCCGGCTTGAGCTATATTCACTAGAACAAGCCATTTCCATTGCGGAGCAGGAAGACTTCAGTCTGAGACAGGCTCGCGCCAGCTCGACATCATTTCGTCAACCGAGACGATATGACAACGGAGGTCCAGAGCCGATGGAACTCTGTTATGTAGAGAGCGAGAAGGCTCGCTCTACAGGCTACAAGAAGTTGCAGAGATGCAACAGATGTCAAAAGACAGGACTCTACGCTTAAGAGTGTAGTGCCCCTCGTCCAGTGTCTCGCGACACTGGGCGTAGTGACCGTCCACCCATTCGAAAGGGGCAGGGACGAGGGTCCGCAGTTGGTGCAAAGACGCAACAACGGGATGGACCGTCAAAAAACGGACAGGATCAGTAGGTGCGGAGCACCCTACTGATCCAGCAACGTCAAGAGAATTTGTAGGCCTCTTGATGAAGGTTGCTCCCAACACACAAACGTTGTGCGTTGCTGCTCTAGGTAATGAGGTCTCACTCATTACCCTGAAACTCTAAGTGACGAATAAGTTGTCCCTTCGAGCTCTAGTCGATTGTGGGGCGTCCAACAATTTTGTGCGACGCCAATCGTTAGAAGATGGTCACTTTAAATTCAGTGAATGTGACACACCTCCTACGAGGATGACGGTACGTCTTGCGACAGGCGCATCCGTAACCGTCATGAAGCGTATAGTGAAGATCCACTATACGCTAGAAGATACCCAATATGACGATGACTTTATCGTATTGGATTTGGATGACAAATTTGATGTCATCCTTGGAATAACGTGGCTCAGAAGGTACGAATCACGAGTAAACTGGCAACATCGGACAGTAACGATGCCTGCCGCTTGTTCATCAGATGGCCACCTGATGAACGTTTTGGAGCGTCCACAAGCGTGTGGATGTACTACGAGTGAGTGCGATGGCCTCACTTGTGGTACGGTCGTTAGTACGACTGCACAAAACCTTAGTGTACCAAACGGTTACACTTCGGAGCAAAGTTCCGGCGGCTGTGAGGAAACACAGGCTGCGCCGAAGGTCCACCACTCGAATAAGTCGGGTGGACTGGGACAAAGATGTATCCCTAGCGGGGAACATCTAGAAGAGAAACAATCGATCGCTCAGGTTAAGCGAAACGATAATCCTAGATCGACTGGAGAGTCTTTCGTAGAGGATCTCGCTGTGGTTGCGCAACCCAGCTAGAGGAAGTAAAGGGAATAAGTCCCGATATTACAAATACGGCGGAGATAAGTTCCCCGAAACCCGCGGGAATAAGTCCCCGGGAAGACGAAGGAATAAGTCCTTCGAAGCCTGAGGAAATAAGTCACCAGGAAATGACAGAGACATTAAATGTCATAGTCAATAACGGATCAAGTGTAGGCGCTTATACACTTGATCTGATTGCGCCTCCGAAGTTAACTTTGGAGATCATCACTAAGTTGCCAACTCTCGAACATAAAAGGTTCTTGCGTGATCTGCGTAGTGGCAAAGTCAAGCAGATCTGCGTACTCGTCGCTGACGACGAGTGTGTAGCCGACCTAAAGTCAGCAACAGTGTTCACCGAGACCGATAGAGTTCTCAGTCGTTCATCGATGGACGAGAGTGTCCTAGATGAAAAGACACGAGTTGAGCGATATGACTCCCAATCGTGGGAATCGCTCAAGAAAAATCCTCTCTATGAAGATTTGGTTGAATTCAAGGATGTATTCCCTGAAACTGTTCCGTGCGAATTACCGAAGGATAAAGGTATTCGACACGAGGTCGAGCTTAAACCAGGCTCGAAGTACTGTGTCATGAAGCAGTGGCCACTGCCTCGTGAACAAGTACTTGCGATCGACAAGTTCTTTGCCGATCGTTTAGCTGCGGGCCGTGTGAGGGAACCAACTTCCCCACATAGCTCTCCGACCTTCTGTGTGCGAAAAGCAACAGGAGGGTGGCGGATAGTGCACGCGTTCAACAAATTGAATGCTGCAACGGTACCGGCTCAGACGCCGATACCGAGGAAGGACGTAATCATTGATGGTATGTCAAAGAGTACCATGGATTTGATGGATGGCTTCTATCAGATCCTAAAATGCGGGAACGGGATATACCCTGTACCGCAGTTAGCACGCCTAGCGGCATGCTCTGGGAATGGCTAGTAATGCCACAATGGCTCAGTAATGCCCCTGCCACGTTCAACAGATGTGTATCACATCTGTTGAGACCAGTACGAGAATTCGCGCCGAGCTATTTCGATGACGTACTCATCCATAGTCGAGCTATGGATGGAAAGTCGGACGTTGAGGTTCACAGGTACCACGTCCGACAGGTTCTTACAATCATGCGAAAGCATCAATTGTATGCAAACCTCAAGAAGTGTATATTTGCAGCAAGCGAAATACCACTTCTTGGGTGCATCGTTGGTAAGAACGGTGTTCGTCCTGATCCCGAAAAGATCAAGGCGATCACCGACTGGCCTGTGCCGGTTGATGTCAAAGGTCTTCGAAAATTCCTTGGGCTAGCGGCGTATTTGCATAAGTATTCACGCAATTACGCCGAGATGACTGTGCACCTCTCTCGTTTGTTGAAAAAGAACGAGAGGTGGTTATGGAACGCTGAATGTCAGCGCTCCTTTGATGGTATCAAGCAGAGCTTGATACAATCCCCAGTTCTAGCAATAGCCGATCAGGACAGGCCATTTCATGTGGTCTGTGATGCCAGCGATTTCGCAATCGGCTGTGCATTAATGCAGTACGATCTTGAAGGCGTTGAACGCGTCGTCTGCTATCAGTCGCGTCAGCTGCAACCAGCTGAGCGGAACTATCCAGTGCATGACAAGGAACCCCTTGCCATGAAGTATGCACTCGCGAAGTTCAGAGTCTATCTATTAGGAGATAGACCCTTCGTTGTTTACACTGACCATGCGTCATTACGCACGGCAGTGAACAGCCCGCACCTTTCACAACGAATGGCGCGGTGGTTGTCATTCTTTGCGGAATACAACTTTACGGTCGAGTACAAACCAGGACGACTTAATGTCGTCGCTGATGCACTCTCACGTCGTCCCGACTTTGAACCAGTCGTGAAATCCAACATTGAGACAGTCACTGTTGCGGTTATGACGTCCTCAGTCCCATTTACAACGTTGTATGATGATGTGAGGCGGGCATACGCCCAAGATGGTGAGATAGTGAAGTTGTTGACACATCTCTCCCAACCATCTCGAGAATCGTTGAAACGATTGTCGTCTGTGTATCGATCTGCATCAGATCGATACACTACTCGCAACGGTTTACTGTACTATACAGCCGTTTCTGGTGACACACCACGTGTTGTCATTCCAGATGATACTGATCTGCGTTCGCGGATCATGTTCGAGTATCGCGATGCTCCTATAGGAGGACATCGTGGCCGAGAGAAAACATATCTCTCGGTAAGTCGAGACTTTTACTGGCCCCGCCAGTATCAGTTTGTGCGAAAGTGTGTTCGCGCATGCGAAGTCTGCCAACGAGTGAAGTCAAGTCCTTCACTGCGTGCACCTTTACAGCCTCTACCGGTTTCGGCTGGGTGCTGAGAATCCATCTCAATGGATTTTGTCTTCGGGTTACCCAAAGACGCACGCGGGAATACGGGTATTCTCGTATTTGTTGACAGATTCAGCAAAATGGTACACCTTGTGGCTGTACCAGAGACAATCACGGCAAGTGGCTGTGCTTGTGTCTTTATTGACACCATCTTCCGACTTCATGGGTTGCCCCGTGAACTCGTATCAGACAGAGATCCACGATTCACTGCTGATTTCTGGCGTTCCGTGTTCAAATCACTCGGAACGCGCTTGAAGATGTCGACATCTGATCATCCCAAGTCAGATGGTCAGACGGAACGTGCCAATCGTGTCCTCGAAGAGATACTTCGAGGATACGTACACTCCTTTAAGAGTTGAAGTGAGTTTTTGCCAATGGTCGAGTTTGCCATTAACAACTCGGTGCATGCGTCCACGACACATACACCGTTTTACGTGAATGGCTTGCGCCATCCGCGTGTACCCACCTTACTGGAGTGTAACTCTGGTTTAAGGGGGGGAGGGACTCGCGCGAGCAAAAACCGATTTGGTTCACGCTCATCACGCTCTGACGAAGAGGTCATTGCGTTTGATGCCGATATCGATAACATCGATATCGAAGAAGATGATGCCAGTGAGAGTGCGGAAGCCCTCACTGAAGAAAAGATTGATGTTGCTGCAGTGCGCTCACAGCGCACTGAAGCTAACGAGTCATCAGATGAGTTCATACTGGCTCGTGAAACGGTAGTCCGTTTTGTGCAAGACTCCATCGCCGAAGCGGTGGATAAGCAAAAGCAAAACGCTGACAAGAATGGAAGGGCAAACACTCTTTTATTTAATAAAGGTGACTTAGTCCTACTGTCTACGGTTAATCTACCAAAGCATGTAGAGACTAACTTGGGTAGCAGTAAACTACTACCCAAGTACATCGGCCCTTTTCGTGTATTGCACCGCCTAGGCAACGCATACACGATCGAGTTACCACGTAAGATGCGAACGCATCCCACGTTTTACGTTGGTCGGCTTAAGCCGTACCATAAGTACGCTGCTTCTTCCGATGAAGAACGCCCTTGCGCTCAAGCATCTCGCAGAGAGCCTTGTGCTCCCGATGGTGGATATCGACAAGGGTCTGGAGAGCAGTTATCTCAGCCCGAGACTGGTCAACATCCTCACGAGCTACCCTTAGCTCGTCACGAAGAGATATCAGAGCTCTCTCGTTCTCAAGCTGAGCAAAGGCAAACTCAGCTCGATGCTTCGAGACAGTGTCCGCCATTTGGAGACGCCCGTCCCGCTCATGTTCGAGATCGTTGCGTAACCCTTGCGTTACGCGATCAAAGAAGCTCTCGGGAACACACGGATCCCCACGATCGCGTGGAGAGCGTCTTTTCTCCTCCCTCACCTCCATCAGAGGAATCTCGTGGTGGCCAGCGCTATCTAGTTGAGCAGCTGTTGATCCACCGCGACGTGAACGGACGTCGGACGAGTTATCTCGTCCGGTGGCGCGGCTATCCCCCGTCCTGGGATACTTGGGAGCCCCGCTCCCAACTGATGATCGACGTACTGGGTCTGGTTGAGCAGTACGACGCGGCACATCCTGTGCCGCAGAAGGACCGCCGGAGAAAGTCTTCCCGGCACGGTCGTAAAGGGATTTCAGGTTGTCAATCCCTTCGTACATCTCACTAGAGATACATACGCGCCACCACGGGCTGGTAAGGAGGTAAGCCTCCTTAGGTGCTCGTGCAGAGTGGTTCACACAACACGGGCACGAGCCTCCCCAAGAAAGGCAGGGTAATCCTTTTTCCCTTGACAGACGATGCAGCTTGTAGCGTGCACCTGTCGGGGTTCGCTTTTCAAACTTATCACGAGCTTTGATAAGTTTGTCGTTCCAAACGTCACAACATACATCCTCAAGGTTATGGATGTAAGCGTTCCACGCCTGAAGTAGTGAGGGACCATCACGTTTGTGATTCCCACTGTACCATCGATGTCTAAAGAAAGCATCGATGAAGAATTCATGTTCAGCGCGATAGTTTTTCGCGCTGGGGTCAAGGTGATGGATCCTTGACGAATCGAACAACCGTGTTCGATAACGATCACTCGTCGTCGCCGACAAGTGATCCATGACGGATATGGGAGGCATCCATGGCTTCTTCTCAGGAGCGAAACGCAACACATTGCGGTTCCGCTCTTCCTGCGACGTGCCGACAGAAGTACTGGCACCTCGCTGTGAAGTGGTGTCCATAGGAGAACCGACACCACTATTAGCGCCCGAGTCTCGCGACCTCGAGCGCCTTCGCTTCGGCGATGGTTCATCTGATTCATCAGATGAACCAAAGATGCTGCGACGCAAAGCATCGTCCATGCCACGCTTGGCAGGCGGCTTAGATTCGATCGCCGTCGATACGGATCCGTATTCCGTATCGGGAGAGTATGAGACACCGAGCTCATACTCTGTGAAGACACGAGTGTCTTCATGACCAGCGCCTGCATCACCAAGTGACACAGGCTGAGTCGCTTCAGCAACCGATGAGACATCAGTTGCTGTTGTTTCTGCTTCGGCGTCCGCACAGAGACGTGCAGACGCGCTCTCGGCGGCCTTGTTCGCGCATCGCATGGGCTTGTTTACCATGCGATGAGATGTTGGAAAGTGGACGCGGACCAACAAGTGCAAACCCTGTCCCAAATGATTTGGGACGAGTATCCATTTAGTCAAGCAGTCACTAAAGTGACTGATGGTTAGGGGGGGGTGATGTAACGGGGTGAATCGTTACATAACAATTTATAAGAAATTGTTAATAGAATATAACTATAAGAGTTATATTCTCAGAATTTTGTCGTAAGGACAAATATTCTGTAGCACTTACGAATAGTTCCTAATTGGTTGATATAGGCCATTATATCAACCAACGAAGACGCGCCACGACAGACGCACGCAATGAGTGGTGAGCAGATAATTGATTTACACATTTGTATTTAGACATAGTTAGATGAAGATAAATAGTGATTTATTGCAGACATTAACTATACTAAATACAGTTCTACTTTTTACTTTAACCAAGTACTCGCTTCTTCTTACCGTCTTCCTCTGCACGTACGAGTGTACGTGAAGTTACGAGGCACCGATTTATTCTGTCATCAGAATGAGTAGCTTGTACTGTCACCAGTACAAGCTTCAGGGTGCCCCGTTACATCAAATCCGACGCTCGCGTGCCAGGGTCAAGGCAACATGGACGAATCAAACGGCGCCTGGAGCAGCTTTGACATCATTCGCCGCCGCGTACTTACTGCTTTCAAAGATATTATTGTACCATTTCAAGAAGGCCAAGGCCTTCAACCGCTCATCTACCTTCTGCCGCAACGATGCCCCCATTGCATCCGCGTCTTCTAAGAGCTTCTTTTTCCATCTAGCAGTTCTGCCCCATGCGTCTATGGAGCCTTTCTTGACCTTCGCCGACAAATTGTTAAGGTTTAGCAATGACTTCGCCTTATTGACAAATTGTGCAGCCCATTTAGGGGGCACAACAACAGCCCTTTCCTCCTCCATATTAGCTGGCACGGAAGGCAGGACGTTTGTAGCACCAGCGGTCCTCAAAACCCTCTTGGCGTCTGCTTCGTTGACGCGGTCATGCGTCACGCGGTCCACGAAAGAGACGTCCGGCTCGGCAGCAGTCGATGGGACTGCATCGCTGGAAGCAAAAATAGCAGCCAGGGCTGCAACTGCGAGGTACGGCAGACGCATGCTTCGTGTTGTTACTTAGAAGTCGAAGAGGTGGTATGCAGTTGTTGTGCAAGTGGTCGAGTTGGAGAATGATGTGTCAAGAGCAGCACCCCGAAAGTTTGCATTCCGCTTTCAACTATCAGATTCAGCAAGACGGATCCGATCATGGCTCATGGACTAGCTATGGCAACGGTGCGACATGCGGTCGTGAATTTGTTACTATCCAGCTGCCGAGAGCACATAAATCGCTCCGTGCATTCCCTGGATGCTGAGCCCTGCGTGCTACATGAGCTTAAGCCAAGCAGATGAAGACAGTGGGGCGGGCTCATGGAAGAAAGTAAGGCTAAAACGGGCAATAGGGTATCCTATTCCTTGGCTCCTGCAAAACGGCTCTACTATCTATCCACATCCTAGTGGGGTTCTGTGAATCGAAATGGTTAGACAGAGGCGATGCTGCGGCTCGTTCGCTTCAGAGCCAGAGTGACGTCCTTGTTGATCAGAGCGACTGCTCGTGGCCTGCTGTGTAGAATCTGATAATGTTTACGAAGATGGGCACGAATGTACGCTCCCTAACAAAGCTCTAGCGAGTCTGCTTATTGGAAGGGACATGATTGACTGCATATAATAAATCTGCACCCAGCATGTCGCGTTACATCGGATACGTATCAGTTGTGGTGTCAAGTACGTCCATTATTCACGAATAACTAACGACTGAAGTTGTCAGGAGATGTGATCCGAATCCGGATCCACAACGTGGGAGCCGGGGGCGAGGGTAGCGGAGGTCAGAGACATCCAACCCAAGCCAGACTCGAGCCTATCTCTTAAGCGATCTCAGTGCATCGCTGCCCTATGCAGCAGAAGATATCAAGACGTTCAGAAGGACGCCTAACTGAATCGGTGACCGCTTAGCGCGGCCAGCCGACCTAAAGCGCGAGAAACCGAAGTTACCTTGCGCGCCGGGAAAATGCCACTAAAATCATGTACAGACTCCTTTGTGGCCGCTAAAGCGACTGTCCGGGCTGCATGTCGCTATCGTCGAGGCGATAACGATGTCGGGGGAACGCCTACCCGCCGTATTTTATACCTAAGAAGCCGATCCATCCGCGACGGTAGGCATCACATCGGATACGTATCAGCAGCAGTTTCACCTATTTATCAGGGCAAATCCTGAACGGCTGGGTTCATTTTATTTGGATGGGTTCATTTTATTCAGCTGGATTCACTTTATTCGGCAGGGTCATTCTATCAGGTACAGGGGTAAAAAAGCAGCTGCTCAAAAATCATGTAGTTAAAACGTCAAATGACCTATTTTTTTCCAAGGTGATTTCGGTGAATCCCTCTCCAAAAAAAGCACACCCACGAAAGCTCCCGCGTTCGCCACGATGACTGTAACGGGGTAGCCCGTTACATGATTTTGACACCAAACGGTGTCAATAGGGATATGTCTAGCATGACGATACCCTACCAATATTATCCGAGATGGATAATATTGAAGTATTATTATCCCCTTTTAGGATAATATTCATGCGCTGCTCAAAGATTGGTTGAAAAAAACAGGTCAACCAAAGATAACCACCCATCGCGGCTGGACGCGCGCAATGAGTAATGAGCAGGTTGTCGTCATACGAAAATGTAGATTAATAAAGTTGGATAAGAACTGAAGTTATACTTATAGCTCAACTATATCAAATACAGTTCTCTATTACCTTTTTAGACTAGAAGTTTGAATAGATTTACCTTCCTGTGCACGTACTAGTGTACGTGAAGTTTTGTGGCACCCCCAAACAAAAGGTGCCCCGTTACAATGACCGTGTACCTCCTGTTGTATGGTTTGTTGGTGTCCTTGTCCATGAGCCAACTCCAGACTGTAACAGAAGATCTCTGCGAGATCGCAAACTCCAAAGTTATCACGTTTTACGACTCAACTGCTGTCACTAATCTCCACGTTTGATAGTACATAGAATTTTCCAAAAGAACCTAATGCGGCAATTCCTACTGTGTATTGTCTTGGTGATATTTATCTTAACGGGGCACCCTTAGCTTGGTAACCATGAAACTTCACGTACACTCGTACGTGCACAGGAAGGTAAATCTATTTAAACTACTAGTCTAGATAAAGGTAAAAAGAGAAATGTATTTGATCTAGTTAAGCTACCAATACAACTGCAGTCTTTATCTAATTGTATCAAACTACGTTGTCGTATGGCGACAACCTGCTCGCCACTTATTACGCACGTCTAGCAGCGACTGGTGGAAAACCTTGGTTGATCTAGCTTTTATCAACCAATCTTGTAGCAGCACGTGAACATTATCCTAGAAAATGGTATTCCTTCAAAATTACCTAGCTCGGGTAATATTGACAGAAGACTGTCGCGCTAGAATATCTTCCTATTGACACCGTTTGGTGTCAATACCGTGTAACAGGTATCCCGTTACTATTTTCGTATTACAAAGCGCATCTTAGAGCACGCCACTGACAACCCTTTTATGCAAAAGGCCGCCCCTCCATACACGACGGCTTTGACGATGACCTCACCCTCCAACAAAATCCGTCACGCCGGATACGGCACAATTTGTTGCCTCTGGACGCTATGTCGTCCACAGACGACCCTAAACAATCCTAAAACTCGCTGGATACCTCAAAATGACCCCTCTCCATCAAGATTCATTTCTTATAAATGACTGCGATGAAGTCCAAGACGCCCCCGATTTTGCATTATGAGATACAGGCATTGCGTGTTCTAGCAAGAGCATTGATTGCAGTAAGCCTTCAAAGAAGAACCAAAGAACGGGACTTGTCCTTTCCTTCAGCCTTCGTTGAGCTTGTGGCCGTAAATACGTCACCACTAGCAAAGTCAAGCGTCGGACATCCCAAGTTGACTGGATACGAATGGAAGGCTCTCTGCATTCGTGCAAAAAATGATTCTACAGTTGTAACGGGACATCCTGAAGCTTGTACTGGTGACAGTACAGGCTACTTATTCTGATAACAGAATAAGGCGGTGCCTCGGAACTTCACGTACACTTGTACGTGCAGAGGAAGACGGTAAGAAGAAGCGAGGACTTGGTTAAAGTAAAAAGTAGAACTGTATTTATAATAGTTAATGTCTGTTAATAAATCACTATTTATCTTCAGCTAAATATGTCTGAATACAAATGTGCATATCAACTATCTGCTCACCACTCATTTCGTGCGTCTGTCGTGGCGCGTCTTCGTTGGTTGGTATAATGGCCTATATTAACCAGTTAGGAACTATTCGTAAGTGCAACAGAATATTTGTCCTTATGACATTATTCTGAGAATTTAACTCTTATAGTTATATTCTATCAGTAATTTCTTATAAATTGTTATGTAACGGTTCACCCCGTTACATCACCCCCCCCCTTAACCATCAGTCTCTTTAGTGACTGCTTGACTAAATGGCTACACCTCCCAAATCATTTGGGACGGGGTTTGCACTTGCTGGTCCGAGTCCACTTTCCAACATCTCATCGCATGGTAAACAAGCACTCGCGATGCGCGAGCAAGGCCGCCGAGAGCGCGTCCGCACGTCTCTGTGCGACGCCGAAGCAGAAACCGCTGCAACCGATGTCTCATCGGTTGCTGAAGCGACTCAGCCTGTGTCACCTGGTGATGCAGGCGCTCGTCTTGAAGACACTCAGGTCTTCACAGAGTATAAGCTTGGTGTCTCATACTCTCCTGATACAAAAGACGGATCCGTATCGACGGCGATCGAATCCAAGCCGCCTGCCAAGCGTGGCATGGACGATGCTTTGCGTCGCAGCATCGTTGGTTCATCTGATGAATCAGATGAACCATCGCCGAGGCGAAGGCGCTCGAGGTCGCGAGACTCGGGCGCTAACAGTGGTGTCGGTTCTCCTATGGACACCACTTCGCAGCAAGGTGCCAGTCCTTCTGTCAGCACATCGCAAGAAGAGCGGGACCGCAATGTGTTGTGTCTCGCTCCTGAAAAGAAAGCATGGATGCCTCCCATATCCGTCATGGATCACTTGTCGGCGACGACGAGTGATCGTTATCGAACACGATTGTTCGATTCGTCAATGATCCATCACCTTGACCCCAGCGCGAAAAACTATCGCGCTGAACATGAATTCTTCATCGATGCTTTCTTTAGACATCGATGGTACAGTGGGAATCACAAACGTGATGGTCCCTCACTACTTCAGGCGTGGAACGCTTACATCCATAACCTTGAGGATGTATGTTGTGACGTTTGGAACGACAAACTTATCAAAGCTCGTGATAAGTTTAAAAAGCGAACCCCGACAGGTGCACGCTACAAGCTGCATCGTCTGTCAAGGGAAAAAGGATTACCCTGCCTTTCTTGGGGAGACTCGTGCCCGTGTTGGGTGAACAACTCTGCACGAGCACCTAAGGAGGCTTACCTCCTTACCAGCCCGTGGTGGCGCGTACGTGTCTCTACTGAGATGTACGAAGGGATTGACAACCTGAAATCCCTTTACGACCGTGCCGGGAAGACTTTCTCCGGCGGTCCTTCTGCGGCACAGGATGTGCCGCGTCGTACTGCTCAACCAGACCCAGTACGTCGATCATCAGTTGGGAGCGGGGCTCCCAAGTATCCCAGGACGGGGGATAGCCGCGCCACCGGACGAGATAACTCGTCCGACGTCCGTTCACGTCGCGGTGGATCAACAGCTGCTCAACTAGATAGCGCTGGCCACCACGAGATTCCTCTGATGGAGGTGAGGGAGGAGAAAAGACGCTCTCCACGCGATCGTGGGGATCCGTGTGTTCCCGAGAGCTTCTTTGATCGCGTAACGCAAGGGTTACGCAACGATCTCGAACATGAGCGGGACGGGCGTCTCCAAATGGCGGACACTGTCTCGAAGCATCGAGCTGAGTTTGCCTTTGCTCAGCTTGAGAACGAGAGAGCTCTGATATCTCTTCGTGACGAGCTAAGGGTAGCTCGTGAGGATGTTGACCAGTCTCGGGCTGAGATAACTGCTCTCCAGACCCTTGTCGATATCCACCATCGGGAGCACAAGGCTCTCTGCGAGATGCTTGAGCGCAAGGGCGTTCTTCATCGGAAGAAGCAGCGTACTTATGGTACGGCTTAAGCCGACCAACGTAAAACGTGGGATGCGTTCCCATCTTACGTGGTAACTCGATCGTGTATGCATTGCCTAGGCGGTGCAATACACGAAAAGGGCCGATGTACTTGGGTAGTAGTTTACTGCTACCCAAGTTAGTCTCTACATGCTTTGGTAGATTAACCGTAGACAGTAGGACTAAGTCACCTTTATTAAATAAAAGAGTGTTTGCCCTTCCATTCTTGTCAGCGTTTTGCTTTTGCTTATCTACCGCTTCGGCGATGGAGTCTTGCACAAAACGGACTACCGTTTCACGAGCCAGTATGAACTCATCTGATGACTCGTTAGCTTCAGTGCGCTGTGAGTGCACTGCAGCAACATCAATCTTTTCTTCAGTGAGGGCTTCCGCACTCTCACTGGCATCATCTTCTTCGATATCGATGTTATCGATATCGGCATCAAACGCAATGACTTCTTCGTCAGAGCGTGATGAGCGTGAACCAATTCGGTTTTTGCTCGCGCGAGTCCCTCCCCCCCTTAAACCAGAGTTACACTCCAGTAAGGTGGGTACACGCGGATGGCGCAAGCCATTCACGTAAAACGGTGTATGTGTCGTGGACGCATGCACCGAGTTGTTAATGGCAAACTCGACCATTGGCAAAAACTCACTTCAACTCGTAAAGGAGTGTACGCATCCTCGAAGTATCTCTTCGAGGACACGATTGGCACGTTCCGTCTGACCATCTGACTTGGGATGATCAGATGTCGACATCTTCAAGCGCGTTTCGAGTGATTTGAACACGGAACGCCAGAAATCAGCAGTGAATCGTGGATCTCTGTCTGATACGAGTTCACGGGGCAACCCATGAAGTCGGAAGATGGTGTCAATAAAGACACAAGCACAGCCACTTGCCGTGATTGTCTCTGGTACAGCCACAAGGTGTAACATTTTGCTGAATCTGTCAACAAATACGAGAATACCCGTATTCCCGCGTGCGTCTTTGGGTAACCCGAAGACAAAATCCATTGAGATGGATTCCCAGCACTCAGCCGGAACCGGTAGAGGCTGTAAAGGTGCACGCAGTGAAGGACTTGACTTCACTCGTTGGCAGACTTTGCATGCGCGAACACACTTTCGCACAAACTGATACTGGCGGGGCCAGTAAAAGTCTCGACTTACCGTGAGATATGTTTTCTCTCGGCCACGATTTCCTCCTATAGGAGCATCGTGATACTCGAACATGATCCGCAAGCGCAGATCAGTATCATCTGGAATGACAACACGTGGTGTGTCACCAGAAACGGCTGTATAATACAGTAAACCGTTACGAGCAGTGTATCGATCTGATGCAGATCGATACGCAGACGATAATCGTTTCAACGGTTCTCGAGATGGCTGTGAAAGATGTGTCAACAACTTCACTATCTCACCATCTTGGGCGTATGCCCGCCTCACATCATCGTACAACGTTGTAGATGGGACTGAGGACGTCATAACCGCAACAGTGACTGTCTCACTCTTGGGTTTCACGACTGGTTCAAAGTCGGGACGACGTGAGAGTGCATCAGCGACGACATTAAGTCGTCCTGGTTTGTACTCGACCGTAAAGTTGTATTCCGCAAAGAATGACAACCACCGCGCCATTCGTTGTGAAAGGTGCGGGCTGTTCACTGCCGTGCGTAATGACGCATGGTCAGTGTAAACAATGAAGGGTCTATCTCCTAATAGATAGACTCTGAACTTCGCGAGTGCATACTTCATGGCAAGGGGTTCCTTGTCATGCACTGGATAGTTCCGCTCAGCTGGTTGCAGCTGACGCGACTGATAGCAGACGACGCGTTCAACGCCTTCAAGATCGTACTGCATTAATGCACAGCCGATTGCGAAATCGCTGGCATCACAGATCACATGAAATGGCCTGTCCTGATTGGCTATTGCTAGAACTGGGGATTGTATCAAGCTCTGCTTGATACCATCAAAGGAGCGCTGACATTCAGCGTTCCATAACCACCTCTCGTTCTTTTTCAACAAACGAGAGAGGTGCACAGTCATCTCGGCGTAATTGCGTGAATACTTATGCAAATACGCCGCTAGCCCAAGGAATTTTCGAAGACCTTTGACATCAACCGGCACAGGCCAGTCGGTGATCGCCTTGATCTTTTCGGGATCAGGACGTACACCGTTCTTACCAACGATGCACCCAAGAAGTGGTATTTCGCTTGCTGCAAATATACACTTCTTGAGGTTTGCATACACTTAATGCTTTCGCATGATTGTAAAGACCTGTCGGACGTGGTACCTGTGAACCTCAACGTCCGACTTTCCATCCATAGCTCGACTATGGATGAGTACGTCATCGAAATAACTCGGCGCGAATTCTCGTACTGGTCTCAACAGATGTGATACACATCTGTTGAAAGTGGCAGGGGCATCACTAAGCCCTTGTGGCATTACTAGCCATTCCCAGAGCATGCCGCTAGGCGTGCTAACTGCGGTATAGGGTATATCCCGTTCTCGCATAAGGATTTGATAGAAGCTATTCATTAAATCCATGGACGAAAAGATGGTACTCTTTGACATACCATCAATGATCACATCCTTCCTCGGTATCGGCGTCTGAGCCGGTACCGTTGCAGCATTCAACTTGTTAAATGCATGCACTATCCGCCACCCTCCTGTTGCTTTTCGCACACAGAAGGTCGGAGAGCTATGTGGGGAAGTTGGTTCCCTCACACGGCCCGCAGCTAAACGATCGGCAAAGAACTTGTCGATCGCAAGTACTTGTTCACGAGGCAGTGGCCACTGCTTCATGACACAGTACTTCGAGCCTGGTTTAAGCTCGACCTCGTGTCGAATACCTTTATCCTTCGGTAATTCGCACGGAACAGTTTCAGGGAATACATCCTTGAATTCAACCAAATCTTCATAGAGAGGATTTTTCTTGAGCGATTCCCACGGTTGGGAGTCATATCGCTCAATTCGTGTCTTTTCATCTAGGACACTCTCGTCCATAGATGAACTACTGAGAACTCTCTCGTCCTCAGTGAACACTGTTGCTGAACTTATGTCGGTTACACACTCGTCGTCAGCGACGAGTACGCAGATCTGCTTGACTTTGCCACTACGCAGATCACGCAAGAACCTTTAATGTTCGAGCGTTGGCAACTGAGTGATCTCCGAAGTCAACTTCGGAGGCGCAATCAGATCAAGTGTATAAGCGCCTACACTTGATCCGTTATTGACTATGACATTCAATGTCTCTGTCATTTCCTGGTGACTTATTCCCTCAGGCCTCGAAGGACTTATTCCTTCGGCTTCCCGGGGACTTATTCCCTCGGGTTTCGGGGAACTTATTTCCGCCGTATTTGTAATCTTGGGACTTATTCCCTTTACTTCCTCTAGCTGGGGTTGCGCAACCACAGCGAGATCCTCTACGAAAGACTCTCCAGTCGATCTAGGATTATCGTTTCGCATAACCTGAGCGATCGATTGTTTCTCTTCTAGATGTTCCCCGCTAGGGATACATCTTTGTCCCGGTCCACTCGACTTATTCGAGTGGTGAACCTTCGGCGTAGCCTGTGTTTCCTCACAGCCGCCGAAACTTTGCTCCGAAGTGTAACCGTTTGGTACACTAAGGTTTTGTACAGTCGTACTGACGACCGTACCACAAGTGAGGCCATCGCACTCACTCGTAGTACATCCACACGCTTGTGGACGCTCCAAAACGTTCATCAGATGGCCATCTGATGAACAAGCGGCAGGCATCGTTACTGTTCGATGTTGCCAGTTTACTCGTGATTCGTACCTTCTGAGCCACGGTATTCCAAGGATGACATCAAATTTGTCATCCAAATCCAATACGATAAAGTCATCGTCATATTGGGTATCTTCTAGCGTATAGTGGATCTTCACTATACGCTTCATGACGGTTACGGATGCGCCTGTCGCAAGACGTACCGTCATCCTCGTAGGAGGTGTGTCACATTCACTGAACTTAAAGTGACCATCTTCTAGCGATTGGCGTTGCTCAAAATTGTTGGACGCCCCACAATCGACTAGAGCGAAATGACAACTTATTCTTCACTTCGAGTTTCAAGGTAATGAGTGAGATCTCATTACCTAGAGCAGCAACACACAACGTTTGTGTGTTGGGAGCAACCTTCATCAAGAGGCCCACAAATTCTCTTGACGTTGCTGGACCAGTAGGGTGCTCCGCACCTACTGATCCTGTCCGTTTTTTGACGGTCCATCCCGTTGTTGCGTCTTTGCACCAACTGCGGACCCTCGTCCCTGCCCCTTTCGAATGGGTGGACGGTCACTACGCCCAGTGTCGCGAGACACTGGACGAGGGGCACTACACTCGTAAGCGTAGTGTCCTGTCTTTTGACATCTGTTGCATCTCTGCAACTTCTTGTAGTCTGTAGAGCGAGCCATCTCGCTCTCTACATAACAGAGCTCCATCGGCTCTGGACCTCCGTTGTCATAACGTCTCGGTCGACGATATGATGTCGAGCTGGCGCGAGCCTGTCTCAGACTGAAGTCTTCCTGTTCCGCAATGGAAATGGCTTGTTCTAGTGAATATAGTTCAAGCCGGAACAGGTGAGTCTTGACGGGACCATCCGCAAGACCCTGCATGAACACCGAAACCAACGTGTGTTCATCCACCGGATTGGAACTTATACAACTCGTGAGATGTCGTACATGTTGCGCGTAAGCGTGCACATCACGCTTACCCTGCTTGAGCTTCAAGAGTTCGGTTCGAGCTCTGAACTCAGCTCTAGGCGGATCAAACGTTTGTCTGAGCCGCGACTTGAAGACTCCCAACGACCCAAACGCATATGGGTCGTGCAACTTGGGCCCCAGTGCCCAAGTCTTGGCACGTCCTGCCAGATTTGACTGGGAAAATGCAACTTGCATATCCCCGTCGTCGATGCGACGCGCCTATATGGCGTCGTCTAATTCGACGAACCATCTCAAGAGGGAGTCCTCTTCGACTCCCCTATACTTGGAGATGTCAATCTTCAAGGTTTCGGGTCGACGCGAGTGCATCGACCCACCAGCAGCAGCCTGCTGCTGTCTCAACAGTTCAAACTGTTGAGCACCCTGTTCTCTCAACAACTCTGCTTGTTGAGAACCTTGTTGGTGAAGCAAGGCTACTTTCTCGCGTTCAGCGTCAAGTTCATTTTGAATGAACTTGGCGATAGTAGCATGTTGGGCATCTCTATTGAGAGCCTCTAGCATGACGCTAACAGCATGGATGCCCATGGTTGAACCCATCCGTTCAACCGCATCCCATTCGAATTCGCTCAAATGGACTAGCCGTCACGCGTAGCGTGAAAGCTTTGGTCATCTTCATCATCTAACATGTTCATGTTAGATGTGGACGTGGTCCTTGGACGGACTACGAAGTGCTGCTAGGTGTAACGGGGCACCCTGAAGCTTGTACTGATGACAGTACAAGCTACTTATTCTGACGACAGAATAAGGCGGTGCCTCGTAACTTCACGTACACTCGTACGTGCAGAGGAAGACGGTAAGAAGAAGCGAGTACTTGGTTAAAGTAAAAAGTAGAACTGTATTTATCACAGTTCATGTCTGTTAATAAATCACTATGTATCCTCATCTAACTATGTCTGAATACAAATGTGCATATCAACTATCTGCTCACCACTCATTGCGTGCGTCTGTCGTGGCGCGTCTTCGTTGGTTGGTATAATGGCCTAAATCAACTAATTAGGAACTACTCGTAAGTGCTACAGAATATTTGTCCTTACGACAAAATTCTGAGTATGTAACTCTTATAGTTATATTCTATTAACAATTTCTTACAAATTGTTATGTAACGATTCACCCCGTTACAACAGTAGAATTTGGGTGAAAAATAAAATTCATTGTACCACACCACAACCACAAACGTGTGATTAATGACAGGCTTGTCGTTGAGCAGAACCGCAAGCGCGATGGGCACACTCAATCCCAAATTGAGCAACAGTGGAAGCTGTAAAGGAGAACCGAAGCAAACATACTGGACAACCAGTGTGGTGCTACTATCACCGACGGCAGCGTGAGCGGTTCCTCGCTACCTATGTAATTTGGCACGAACGGGGATAGCAACTAGGAATTGACTAGTTGCCCGTAAAGTATAACCGTGTTAAATAAAACGAAGACCTGATCACTAACCTATGTTTTGTTTCCAACTTAAATAACTTATCCACAAAGTATCTGCTAAAGTCTTTCTCACCGCTCATTGCGCGTCCATAGTTGATTGGAGTTCTAGAGCTGGCTGAAATGATGACCCGTATCAGCCGATCGGTAAGTGCTTCTGGTTATCACTTCTGATGGTAACATTCACGAACATCATCAATCTTTATGACAATATTATAATTAAAAAGTATCAAAGTTGATTACATGTTACAAGCAAATCCCGTTACATCTTCCTCCCTTTGTGGATAGCCACTCAATCACCATCATGTTGATGGGCCACCGTGAGACCACATCAGAGACAGGGAGCACTCAATTTGGTCTGATCAATTCGTTGTTAAATCTTCATCACATGGTGAACATTTCCATGCGATGCGCGGCAAATCTGCTGTGAAGGCAGCTGCGCGTGTTAACGCAGCTGCTCTTGACCATGCCCAGCCCCTCTCGGCAAAAGATGCTTTGCCTGCTGCTTCTTCAACACTTCAGGCGGCACCAATTGCTTCAGAAGCATGTAGTATGTCACCATGTGCCGATGATCTCATCTATTCGGAGGAGTTGGAAGGTATGTCTGACTTGAAGACGATATCTAGATCACCCAAGTATAACGAAACGGCCGAATACAATCCATAGAAGACGACTCGAGCGGTTAGTCAGACTTATCGTCACTACAAGAGTTTGTTTATTGAGGAGGATACGCATGCTCACCCCCCCCCTCGACTACTATTGCACATTCGCCTTTTAGAGAATGCGGCGTTGACTTGCACCGTCGTTATGACCAATCTAAGGATACCAAGACTTCATTTGGTACCGCGCAGGAGGCTTAGGCGGCTATGCGATGCGTCTAGACCCTGAACAAACATTGGTTATTACCAGAAAGGCTTGAGATTAAACTGCCGGACGGAATGATCCCTCATGATTATTTTTTTACTCGATGCGAGCTTGACGCACGGCCTCGCCGATAGCGCTTGTAACTTTTCCTCTAAAGAAGACTTTTATCTGAACGATTCTTTAGAGCATCTTTGGCAGATCGGAAATTCTGATCAAGCCGATGCTCGTTGCCGCAGGCGCCAAACGCTTTTACACTCAATGTGCAGCACGTTAGGCGCATAGCTTGGCTTCAGGAACTTATAACAGATAGTGTTAAGTTTAAGGAACTAACCTAGACTGGTGCAAACGCTAGGTTGCACTATCTGTTTCGTGAGACAGGAATTTCATGCCTCATGCGGGACGGTCCATGTCCGTGTTGTTTCGACAACACTCAACGCACCCAAAGGGATGTGTACTCCCTTTTTTCGACCTGGGGTAGATTGCGCATCTCTTCTACGATACGCGATGCGATTGCTGAACTCCAATCGCTCTACCAGCACCAGAAACGCGTGTTTTTCGATAGCCCATCTATTCCATCGGATGTTTCTCGTCGTACTGGTGGACTAGAACCTCGACTTCAATCATCAGCTGGACGCGAGGCACCCAGCTGTCGTGCGATGGTGGACAGCCGCGCAACGAGCAAATAAACCGCTCGCTGCTCCTTTACGTCGCGGTAACTCAAGTTGCTCTTCACATAAAAACGTTGATCACTGTGCGAGTTCACCAAGTGCTGTAGAGAGGGCGCGATTATCAACTCCGAATGTTTTGGTGGTGTTGCAGGTAGAGCTTGGTCGTCTCCAGCAACGATTACACGATCTGTGTGATATCATTGAACAAGAGACAAAAGTGTCATTTTTCGGAGGCTTGGATGCAACGCATCCGCCTTTTTAGCGCATTCGACCGTTTAAGGTTTACGTTCTACCAATTATAGAACGAGCGGAAGCGTCAAGCCTTTCGCGATGAAGGAGCTGAAATTCGTCGCCACCATGCGGCACTACAGAGCCAGTTTAAGATACTGGATCGGGTCTAAAAAGATTATCGGGGTTTTTGAAAAAAAAGGTGGCGGTTGTGTTCGCCCGAGGAAAAGGCCTCGTGCTGATGGCAAGGGTGGAGAAGAAAAACGTATAATGGTAGGATGCGTACGCATCCTGCGAGGCACCTCGATTGTGTACGCATTTCCTTTGCGATGTAGTAATCAAAACGGGCCAGTGTACTTGGGTAGCGGTTTACTACCATCCACATTAATTACTGCGTAGTTAGGTAGATATAAAGTATACAATAGAAGAAAGTGTCCAAAATTAAATAAGAAGAACGTATGTTCTTCCACGTTTGTCAGCGTTCCCTTTCTTCCAGTACACCGCGTTAGCGATGGACCATTGCTCAAAACAGACTACTGCTTCTCGTGCCGGCAGGAAGTATTCTACTGATTCAATTGAGTTCGTTGAAGTTTGCCTTGTGCGCACCGCTTAGAGGTCGACTTTCTTCCTCCGTGAAGGTGGTCTCACCTCGCTAGTGCAGTCGCTGGTAGTACTGAATATACCAGCGTCGTCATCCTTAGCTGCTTCAAAGTCAAATTGATCGACATCGGCAACGTTCGCGTCGTTGATTGCCTTGAAACGTGATCAAAAGCCAGAAAAGGTTTTTGCTCAAGCGATTCACACCTAATCAGAGTCACACTCCATGTTAAATGCGTTGTCTATGCACGCACGGAGTCGTTGATTGCGAACTCCATTATCGTCAAAAATTTGCTCTAGTTAATGGAGAATTGGACTGACTTAGCCTCTAAAGTATCTTTGAGAAAACGGTTGACGGGTTCTGTCTGGACGTCAGTCTTGGGATGGTCAGAAGTAGAATTAGCCAGACGTGTTTCAAAGGTTCGGAACACGGATTGCCAAATCACCGCCGTGAATTGATGAGCTCGATAAGAGATTAGCTCACGGGTCGACCGCGGAGTCGGTATACTAGTGCCAATGAAGACAAAGGCACAACCATCTGCAAAGATATACCTAATTGACTGTAGTAAGATTCCCCATCTTTCACTATTGTTCTACAAACACAAGAATACTACCATTCTTGTGAGTTTCGGCTTCGGGAAAATTAAAGACGAGACCATTAGAATGAAGTGTGAGCAATTTTTCGGGATCGGTTGAGGCTGTAGTGGCGCACGGAATTATAAACTAGGCTTTACCCGTTGTCACGCTTTACAAGCAAAATTGTAGCTGCGCACGAACTGATACTAGCGGGGACAGTACATGCCGCAACTTATAGTGATATAAGTTTACGCCGACGCTGTCCTATGGGTACTCGAATAATATGCGCAAGTGCATACATTACGAGTGGAGACGACAGTACGAGGTGTGTCGCCGTTGATTGCTGTATAGTACAGCAGTCCATCACGAACCGAATACCGTTCGGTTGAAGCGCGGTATTGAGACGTCAAGCTTTTCAATTCTTGACTTTATGAATTAGACACGTAATCCACCAACCGCAGAAGAGGCTCATCTTCTACGCATGCTTTTCGCACGTCGTCGAGCAGGTTCGACGACGGAACACTCACTCTTAGTGTCGCTACAGTGGATTCACCCCTTCGGTTGGGTTGAGCAAGTCCTTTGAGATCGGGCCGATGCGAAAGAGCATCAGCAACGACATTATGTCGCCCTGGTTTATACTCGACGGAGAAATTGTACTTCGCGAAGAGAGACAGCCACCTCGCCATTCGTTGCGAGAGGTGTGGACTGTTTACGGCCGTGCGTAATGACGCATGGTCGTTATAAACGATGAAGGGCCAATCTCCTAAGAGATGTACCCGAAACTTGGCCAGTGCATATTTCATGGCCAGAAGTTTCTTGTCATGAACCGGATAATTTCGCTCAGCTGCTTGCAGCCGACGCGATAGATAACAGACGACGCGCTCAACGCCTTCTGAGTCATACTGCATTATCGCGCAGCCGATTGCAATATCGCTGGCGTCACAGACCACATGGAATGGTATGTCCTGGACTGCAATCGCCAACGCAGGCGATCGTATCAAGCTTTTCTTGATACCTTCTAAGGAGTGCTGCCACTCAACGCTCCATGACCACCTCTCGTTTTCTTTAGCAGACGAGAGAGATGTACGGTCATCTCGGCATAGTTGCGCGATTATTAGTGCACGTACGCCACAAAGCCAAGGAGCTTTCGAAGTCCCTAGACGTCGACTGGCACAGGCAAGTCGCTTATCGCCTTAATCTTTTCCGGATCAAGGGGTACGCCGTTGTTACCCACGATGTAGCCAAGAAGTGGTATTTCGTTCGCTGCAATAAACTCTTCTTGAGGCTCGCGAACAGCTCATTCTCACGCATAAGTTTAAGAAACTTTTGTCGTGGATTCTATGAATCCCACGTCCGTCTTTCTATAAAAATTAGCCCGACTGTGGACGAAAACATCGTCAAAGTTCCTCGGTGCGAAGTCATGCACCGATTGCAACAGGTTGGTAACACATCTGTCGAACGTTGTAGGGGCGTTACTAAGCCCTTGTGGCATTACTAGCCTTTCCCAGAGAATACCACTGACAACGCTCACTGCTGTATTTGGGATTTCCCGTTTACGCGTGAGGATCTGATAGAATTTACCCATCAGGTACATGGACGAAAAGATGGTACTCTTTTCCAAACCGTCAAAGATGACGTCCTTCCTCGGTATCGGCGTTTGAGCCGGTACCGTTGCAGCGATCAATTTGTTGAACGCGTGCACTATCCGCCACCCTCCTGTTGCCTTTCACACACAGAAGGTCGGAGAGCTGTGTGGGGATGTTGATTCTCTCACATGACCAACTGCTAAGCGATCGGCAAAGAATTTGATGATCGCTGTGACCTGTCACGAGGCAGTGGCCACTGCTTCATGACACAGTAATTCTAATCGGGTTTCAGTTAGACCTCATGCCAAGTGCCTTTGTCCTTGGGCAGCTCGCATGGCACGGATTCAGAAAAGACACTTCTGCATCCGGCCAAATCCTTGTACAAAGAATTTGTCTTTAAAGACTTCCAAGATTAAGACGTGTGTCGCTAAATTCGGGTCTTCTCATCGAGGACACTACCGCCCGTAGATGAGCTACTGAGAACCCGTTTGTTCTCGGCAAAGACTTGTGCCGACCGAATATCGGCGACGTACTCGTCCTCTGTGACGAGTACGCAAATCTTCTTGATCTTGTCACTACGCAGATCTCGCAAAAATCTTTTGAATTTTAGCGTTGGCAACTTGACTACCTCCGAAGCTGACTTCGATGGCGTCACCAGATCTAGTGCATAAGCGCCTTCACTTGACCCGTCATTCACAAAGACTTTCACTGACTCGGTAACTTCCTGGGAAAACACATCCGCAGGTGGTTGAGGATCCACACCCTCAACATAACTCTCTCGGAAGTTATCACTCTCACGAACGCTGGAACTTTCTTCCATTACGTGTACTGACTGTAAGTGTACTACCATAGTCACGTCCTATTCGATCGACTCTCTCTCTAAGTCCATCGTGCTTGCTCTACGATCGACTCTCTTTGTGCTGATCTCGCTTCAATGTGTTGTTCATCCTGAACAACACTCATTTCTCTTTTTGGATGCACCCTTCTTGGTGTGCACCCGTGTTCCAGTCCACTCAATCTCTTCGAGTGGTGAAGCTTCGGCGCAGCCTGTGTCTACACAGGTGCCGGAAGCTGGTTCCACATTGTAGTGGCCTTCTACTCTGTGATCTTGTGCAGTCATACTAACTACCGTACCACAATTGTAGCCATCGCACTCTTTTGTAGTACATCCACACGCTTGTAGACGCTCCAAGACTTCATCAGATGGCCATCTGATGAACAAACGGCAGGCATCTTCATGGATAGATGCTGCCAGCTGATCCATGGCTGGTATTCTCTGAGCCATTGCAGACCGAGAGTGACATCGGATTTGTCACCCAAATCAAGTACGATGAATTCATCATCATACCGATTTCCTTCTAGCGTGTATCGGATTCCCACTACACTTTTGTTCACTGTTACAGATGCGCCTGTAGCAAGGCACACCGTCATCTTCGTTGGAGGGAACTCTACCTTAACGTAGTCGAGACTGCTATCTTCTAGCGACTGGCGTTTAACAAAACTGCTCGACGCCCCACAGTCAACTAGGGCGCGAAGTGACATTTCACTTGTCAATTCGATCTTCAAGTGATGAGGAACACCTCATTACCAGGGGCAGTAACACACAGCGACTGTGAGTTGGGAGCAATCATCGTCAAGAGTCCTGCATTTTCTCTTGGCGTTGCTAGATCAGCAGGGTGCTCTTCTCCTACTGACGCTGACCGTTTTTGGCAGTCCGACTTGTTGTCGCGGCTTAGCGACATGGTCGGGCCGACGCCTTGGACCTATCCTTGGCCAACGGCGGTCATCAAGTCCTGTCTTTGAACGTGATGCGGTGCTTGGGACACTACACTAATTCGCGTAGTGTCCAATCTGATGATAGATATGGCATCTTGAAGCTCGTTTGTGAATCAGAGAGAGAGAGTTCTCGCTCCCGATATAACAGAGGTCCATTGTCTTGGGGCCTCCTGTTTCCTGTCGTCTCGTCGGACGTTTTTTGACGAGTTAGCCTGAGACTGTCTCAGGATGAAGTCCTCTTGTTTCGCATACGTAATTGCCTTTTCCAGCGTATAGAAGTCATCTCTAAACATGTAGGTCTCCACCGGTCCATCTACAATTCCTTAGGGGAACACGTTGATAAGCGTGTGCTCATCAACAGGACCTTCCGTGATGCTACTTGCAAGGTAGCAGAGGTGTTGTACGTAAGCGTGCACATCACGCTTACCTTGATTTAGCCTTGGAAGTGCAGAGCGTGCTCTAAACTCGGCTCTTGGCGGCTCAAACGTTTCTTTGAGTCGAGACTTTAAGATCTCTAATGACTCACATACATTTATGCCGTGAACTTGAGCCCTAAGGGTTAAGTCTCTGCTCGTCATGTCAAATCTTACAGAGCAAAGGAGACTTGCATCTATTCACTCTCAAAGTGACGGGCCCTGATAACGTTGTCTAAATCGACGAACCATCCTAAAAAGGAATTTTCATCGGTTCCCTTGTACCTTGAGATATAAATCCTTAAGGTTTCGGGTCGACGCGTGTGCATCGGCCCGCTCATCGAATGATGAGATTCTTGCTGGTGAAGCAAGGCTATCTTTTGTCTTTCGACAGCAAGTTCCCCTTACAGTAACTTAATGATAGGGGCATGTTGTTAGTTTCTGCTTAGAGACTCCAACATACCACTGATGGCGGTTTCGCCCATGAGCACACTCCTGCGGCCACGATATCCCATTCTGAGTCACTCAGATGGAGGTAGCCTTCACGTGTGAGGTGAAAGCTGTCGTCTATAACGTCCAAAAATGTTCATGTTGGACGGACACTAAGTAGGCGTTGGACGGACTACAAAGTGCTACCAGGTGTAAAGGGGCACCCTCTGCTTCGATGCCACGACACTTCACGTACACTCGTACGTGCACAGGAAGGTAAATCTATTCAAACTACTAGTCTAGATAAAGGTAAAAAGAGAAATGTATTTAATATAGTTAAGCTACCAATACAACTGCAGTCTTTATCTAATTGTATCAAACTACGTTGTCGTATGGCGACAACCTGCTCGCCACTTATTACGCACGTCTAGCAGCGACTAATGGAAAACCTTGGTTGATCTAGCTTTTATCAACCAATCTTGTAGCAGCACGTGAACATTATCCTAGAAAATGGTATTCCTTCAAAATTACCTATCTCGGGTAATATTGACAGAAGACTGTCGCGCTAGACAATCTTCCTATTGACACCGTTTGGTGTCAAAAGCATGTAACAGGCTATCCTGTCACACAAGTTGAAGATGTAAGGAACAACTGGAGTGGTACAGGACGATGATACATCGAAGGGAATGAGCGCGACAAGTCGAATGTCTAGAGAAAATGAAACAGAGCAAGAACTTAGTCTTTCTAGCGGAGTTCTGATCTCGTCAACTCCGAAGTTATACAAAGGTAAACAAGTTTATTTGTGAGTTTTTGTCGTGGTGAGATTTCTGTTGTCATCAACGCCAAAGTATCATCGACATTGTTTACAGTGGGATGACTGCATGACTACAGACTGGCTTTGGAGAAGTTCCTTATTACCTTAAATCAGTGCATGCAGAAGCATACCTTTTTTGCAGCTCTTCTCCTCATAAGGTTGCTGCAAAGTTTTAGTTCCTGACTGAGACCTTCTTACTGTATGCCACAGAGACATATTAACCACACTTTTCCCAGTTCATCATTCAAGGCAACATGACCGAGAAGAAGTCTTTAGATACTGCACATTTCCTTGGACACCTCTTAAGTACGATCACAAGGTCGCTTCAATATTGCTTTTTATTCAAGCCTTTAGTTTGTAGTACATTGCGCATTTGATTGAAAAAGAGCACTCGATCACGCAGTTAGCTTCTATGACACCAGTGTGCGATCTTGCAAAGTCAACTGCGCCATCTGAATCATATCCACATACCCGAACTCTCCTCACTTTCCACGACTACAAATTCCTCAACCAACTTGTCCTGTTACTCTAGAAAGCAGGAATTGAAACCACCCATTTGTTTGATGTCATACTTTGGTTTAACGACCACTTCTAATTTCACGGCATGCAATTATCCACCTCCAACCACCTAATACCTCTCCTTAAGTATTGTTGGGATATCAGAAGTGGCCGTGGTGTATGTTTTTACTCCAGATATTTACCCACAACTACATGGCGCCTTGGCATAATGATCTTAAATGGTCAATGCAGCTTTTTCAATGCTATGCACTACATAGTATACATTGGCGTCAAAATGCGTCATGTATTAATGAAGGTTATAAAAGTGAATTTACATCAAGACTTGCACAAGCGAGCAGGAAAACCGTTATAGTAAATTGGTTATATAAGACATGTTCCCGTTAAAATTGGGCGTATTCTTAAATTACCTTTGATAACGGATCATAATGACCCAGCCGAATCAAAAGTGAACCCAGCCGTTTAGAATTTACCTTTAACAGTGTTTTGTACGACTTCCGACCTTGGCATTCCCCTTATCTACCTACTTTCTTTTTTACTGTTTTGCCGAACTGCATTTCTCGGGTACGTCTGTATCGTTTACCAATCTTATGCCCAATGATCAAAGCGGTTATCAACGTGATGAGAGTGTTTCGTGTTTTTTGATAAATGTCCGGCCGTTTACACGACTCAACATCAGAAGGTGTTTTGGTTCATTACCTAGCTAGATTCTCGCCATTTTGATATCAGAGGTGTGTTAAACAATCTTTAATCTAATTTGTTATAGCATCACAGGATCAATCGCTCTTCAAGCTATCCAATCTTGCACAGGGTCGGACCATTGTTTGAGCAACATCTAGCATATCTTTGTTTATAAATGCTATTTTGGATAATGCGAATGAAACTTTGGCAATCATTGTCTAGAACTCCCGACGATAGTTAGCAGCCGTTTCATCGGTTGCCTAGGACTTCGTTCAAAGTCTCTGACAAATGACAATTAGTGCTTTAGTGTCCAAACAATGGTAACAACCATTTTTGATGGTTTCCTGGATTAAGAAACCAAATTGACAAAAGTTTGTCAGCGTCATCACTTTGACGAGACAAAGCTAATTCTGTAATGTGTTCGAATTTTTGCACGAAATGCTTTGTTTAATGGCACGTAAAAGTCGGAGAAAGGTTCTAAGTGTGGATTGCACTCAGAACCTTTCATGTGTTTGAGGTACAGCAGTTGCGTGCATACCACAAAGTGTGTGTCACAATCTGGTAACGTCAATACTGAAATTCATTACATGAGTCATAGAAATGCGTCATAAGTACGTTTACATTCAGTTTAAGCGCACTGTAAAAATGGCGTCTCATCGAAGCGAGTGCTAATATTTTGTCTTTTGGTCAATAACCACTAATTTTTCGATCTGATTAAATAAATAGGAATCAGTCTTTACTTAGAAACCTTTGTAACGTGTGCAGTATGACGGGAAACTGCGTCAGAATCACACCTACTACAAGTGTACATCTACAGGTGAGGCAGTCGTAAGAAGCCCACCGAACCCCACCACACGCGAGAGAAGACGGTAAAAGCGGCTTCCTTGCAGGTGCCTGAAGGTTTGTTAAGGTAGTGCATGGTAACTTTTTTTGAAGCCCACCAATGCTTGGCAGCACTAGCTGTCCTTCTTACTGCCTGTCACTTTGTGAACGTGTTAGTATGAGTGAGCCTTTATGTTGATTGGGCATACTTCACCCACCTCTCTCAACAGTAGAGGGAAAGGGCCCTACATATGGCTCAGGGACTTAGTTACCAAGCCCCGGATAAAGTATTAAGTTGCCTACCATAGCAACATGTTCCACATCTGGAACGGCATAAACATTTTGTGCTCGAAGCGAAGTCCGCGTCCG